TATGGAAGCAAAAATGCAGAAATGTGGGCATCCCCCTTAACAATGCAAACATATACACCCTAAGCTTCGCAGGTGACCAATTTATAATGGCGGAAGACTACGATGACGTAGAATACATGACGCGAAAACTGATGGAAGAATACAAGAAATGGGGGTTGGAAGTAAACTTACCAAATACAAAGTATATGTGTATCCTGTTAGAGGACGGTCAGGCTATCAAAAGCTGCAAAACCTACAAATACCTGAGACTGTACATATCCAGCAGTGGGACGTTAGACTACGCCATCAAAGAACGAAATAATCAAGGCAGAAAGGCCATTACTATGCTGAACACCTTCTTGTGGGACCAAAAAAATCACGAGACGAAACAAACCGAAACAAACACCTAATATACAATACGATCATTAAAAGCATAGTCACATACAGTAGTGAAGTCTGGCCACTAAAAGAAAAAACCATGAGAATGCTGGAGGCAACAGAGATGGACTTTTGGAGAAGAGCGGCAGGAAGCAATTCGCACAATCATGAATTTGGGCCACGCGATTTCAGACGAAATAAGAACAAAAAATTTAAAGTTGTACGGACACGTCCAAAGAATGGAAGAACAGCGACTGCCTAAACAAATACTCAAATGGACACTCACAGGAAGAAGGAAGAGGGGAGGACCGAGAAAGAGCTGGAGAGAGGGCATCGATAGTGAAATGCAATGGAGATCACTGGACCTATGGAAGGACTGAAATCGATGGAGGGAATGGGACGACGTTTTAAATATATATATATATATATATATATATATATATATATATATATATATATATATATATATATATATATATATATATATATATATATATATATATATATATATATATATATATATATATATATATATATATATATATATATATTCTCACGTATTGATTCACGGATGGAAAAATGTGATGACACTATATTCCGGGATATCATCCGTTCGCTCGTTGAACTCCGACTGGAATCCTGCATCCGACTGGAATCCTGCAAATCTTGCATCCGACTGGAATCCTGCAGACGTTTCGCCAAAATCTCACTTGGCATCTTCAATGCTCGCGCTCCGAAAACACTTCGAACACTGGGAGGTTATCGGCGGTGCGTGCGGTATTTATACTCTGCGCCGGAGATGGTAACGGTGCTGCTTGTGCGTGGGGGGAGGTGGCTCCGCCCCCTGAATTGTCGCGTTGTTAATTTCGCCCGATCGTAGTTGCGATGTCCCCGTTGACTGCTGCGCATCGCTCTGCTGTTTGATTATCGTTCTCCACGTGTTGGATAAATGCAGAGCGTCGTCTCTCGTATTGAGGTGTCCGGACTTTTCTATTTCGATGGCCTCTCGTATAATCCTAGTCCTAAAATCAGGAATATTAGCTATTTGTTTACAAGTGCCGAAATCAATTTTATGGCCTGTCTGATGTTGGTGCTGAAACAAAGCAGATGTTGTTTGTTTGTTTCTTATGGCTAAACGATGTTCCTCGAGCCTGGCTGAAATCCTTCTGTTGGTCTGTCCCACATACGTCAGGCTGCACGATCCGCATGCTACACTGTATACTCCTTGGTTTTCCAGAGTAATTTTTTGTTTTGGGTTTCTTAGTATTGCTCCGATGGTATGGTCAGGTTTGTATGCCGTTGATATGTCGTGTTTCCGTAATATTCGGCCGATTTTGTCAGTAACCCCCTTGATGTATGGCAGGACAGCGATCGATCTTCGTTGGGTCTCGTCCTGCACTCTCTGCTGCGGCTGTTGTTGTCAATCAATAAACAACAACAGCCGCAGCAGAGAGTGCAGGACGAGACCCAACGAAGATCGATCGCTGTCCTGCCATACATCAAGGGGGTTACTGACAAAATCGGCCGAATATTACGGAAACACGACATATCAACGGCATACAAACCTGACCATACCATCGGAGCAATACTAAGAAACCCAAAACAAAAAATTACTCTGGAAAACCAAGGAGTATACAGTGTAGCATGCGGATCGTGCAGCCTGACGTATGTGGGACAGACCAACAGAAGGATTTCAGCCAGGCTCGAGGAACATCGTTTAGCCATAAGAAACAAACAAACAACATCTGCTTTGTTTCAGCACCAACATCAGACAGGCCATAAAATTGATTTCGGCACTTGTAAACAAATAGCTAATATTCCTGATTTTAGGACTAGGATTATACGAGAGGCCATCGAAATAGAAAAGTCCGGACACCTCAATACGAGAGACGACGCTCTGCATTTATCCAACACGTGGAGAACGATAATCAAACAGCAGAGCGATGCGCAGCAGTCAACGGGGACATCGCAACTACGATCGGGCGAAATTAACAACGCGACAATTCAGGGGGCGGAGCCACCTCCCCCCACGCACAAGCAGCACCGTTACCATCTCCGGCGCAGAGTATAAATACCGCACGCACCGCCGATAACCTCCCAGTGTTCGAAGTGTTTTCGGAGCGCGAGCATTGAAGATGCCAAGTGAGATTTTGGCGAAACGTCTGCAGGATTCCAGTCGGATGCAAGATTTGCAGGATTCCAGTCGGATGCAGGATTCCAGTCGGAGTTCAACGAGCGAACGGATGATATCCCGGAATATAGTGTCATCATATATATATATATATATATATATATATATATATATATATATATATATATATATATATATATATATATATATATGATGACACTATATTCCGGGATATCATCCGTTCGCTCGTTGAACTCCGACTGGAATCCTGCATCCGACTGGAATCCTGCAAATCTTGCATCCGACTGGAATCCTGCAGACGTTTCGCCAAAATCTCACTTGGCATCTTCAATGCTCGCGCTCCGAAAACACTTCGAATACTGGGAGGTTATCGGCGGTGCGTGCGGTATTTATACTCTGCGCCGGAGATGGTAACGGTGCTGCTTGTGCGTGGGGGGAGGTGGCTCCGCCCCCTGAATTGTCGCGTTGTTAATTTCGCCCGATCGTAGTTGCGATGTCCCCGTTGGCTGCTGCGCATCGCTCTGCTGTTTGATTATCGTTCTCCACGTGTTGGATAAATGCAGAGCGTCGTCTCTCGTATTGAGGTGTCCGGACTTTTCTATTTCGATGGCCTCTCGTATAATCCTAGTCCTAAAATCAGGAATATTAGCTATTTGTTTGCAAGTGCCGAAATCAATTTTATGGCCTGTCTGATGTTGGTGCTGAAACAAAGCAGATGTTGTTTGTTTGTTTCTTATGGCTAAACGATGTTCCTCGAGCCTGGCTGAAATCCTTCTGTTGGTCTGTCCCACATACGTCAGGCTGCACGATCCGCATGCTACACTGTATACTCCTTGGTTTTCCAGAGTAATTTTTTGTTTTGGGTTTCTTAGTATTGCTCCGATGGTATGGTCAGGTTTGTATGCCGTTGATATGTCGTGTTTCCGTAATATTCGGCCGATTTTGTCAGTAACCCCCTTGATGTATGGCAGGACAGCGATCGATCTTCGTTGGGTCTCGTCCTGCACTCTCTGCTGCGGCTGTTGTTGTTTACTGATTGCCTTGCTGATGGTGCGCCTTTGGTATCCGTATATATATATATATATATATATATATATATATATATATATATATATATATATATATATATATATGATGACACTATATTCCGGGATATCATCCGTTCGCTCGTTGAACTCCGACTGGAATCCTGCAAATCTTGCATCCGACTGGAATCCTGCAGACGTTTCGCCAAAATCTCACTTGGCATCTTCAATGCTCGCGCTCCGAAAACACTATATATATATATATATATATATATATATATATATATATATATATATATATATATATATATATATATATATATATATATATATATATGAATCTTATCATTTAACATTAACAGAGAGAGTAGTTAAGCAAAGGCAGAAACTAGACCATAAAAGTCGAATTATACAACATTGTGACAACTTTAAATAAAACAAATTGTTTATAAGTAATGTTTGACATTTAGACATAAAGTGCGTAAAATACGGCACAATGTACATTGAAGACAATTATTATAAAACGGCACCATATAATTTAACAGTGAAAAATCGTAGGTAATTTCATTAGGTTTACGATCACGCGAGAGGAAAAAAGCATTTATGATACCTACCCATATTATTATAAAATATTATTCTCCTGTGTGACATTCCAAGCCTAGACTTTGTATAACGACCGGTTTAGTAAGCAATGTTGGTCGTATTTCATAAAGTCATAAGCATATAGAGAAATTCATTAAAAAGTGGCGATAAGGAAATGCCTGTTCAAATGGTGTCAATTGCGTAGGAGCCAATATATTTAGTTGTATGTTGATTTTGTCTTTTCAGACATGTAATAATTGCTTACGTGAATTGATATTCATGAAGCAGTTATCTTCTAAAAGTTTGTAGTAACACATGTGAACCCAGCTCCAACAAGCGGCAATTGAATATTTGAATTAGAGTGAATTATGAGCAACTATTTTATTAGTGTTTTCTAAATATTGTCGAAGAGTTCCCAAAAACGCTTTACCGAGTTATTCTTTTTTGTCAGAGGTCGTCGGATTTCATAACAACTCTTTTTTTTCCTACATGAATATATAAATAATTATATCATATTAACATTAAGTTCTTTGGTTGACTTTTTTTTCATATGTCTTTTATACCTTTAGAATTTTAATAATAACTTATGATGAGCAATTTTTTGGAAATTTCTATTAATGAAGAAGATAAGTGGATTAAAAACACAATTAAACAAAGGACCTTGGAAAGCTCCATACGTGCGACATTATACAGCTCGTCTGTTTGTTTTCGTTATGTTCTTTTTATTAGTTTGTTGTGTTGTGCGATCATTAAGTTAATATTTTTGCCCTACTCATTCAGAAAAATGTTACCAGCTGCTCACCTTGCGCATTCGCCAGCCTGTAAAATTTTACATACCAAGTTATGTTTGGTATAATATCTAAGGATGATTTTTTTATTTCCAGAGATCAGAAAACGTCGACCTATCATTAAGTATACCACAGTCCAACTTTCAAGCAAACGGCTACGATATGGGCGACCAAGTAAGTACACGTAATTTTATCTTAATCTTAATTTCGATCTGCAAAACTGACTTTGATATATTAGACATCAAATTTATGTCTTGTGGATAAACCAAAATCGACCCTACTGCTATTTTCTACATTAATTCTTTAATCGATTTCCCCTCTTATCAGCACATAAGGTTAAAAACGAAAGTAAATCCGTGTTACTTTTGTGTAGTTTATCATGAAAATATGCTTATGCTTTGCTCACTTTGTATATTGAAAAAAAATGTATGAAACGATTTTCTCACAATTTTACTAAAAATTATTTAATTCATTCATTATCAGTAGAGCAACCAAATTTTTATTTAACACACACACACACACACACACAAGTTTATTAACAGTAACTACTGGAAGGTGAATATAAATATTTTTCTTCTTACGATTTACATTGGCATGAAATTGCATGGGAAATGTTTTATAATTACCTCCTTTCAAAGTAAAAATTACTTTTCCGCCATCGTATTTGCGTCAATTTACGTCGAAAAAAAGCAGCCGTAGAAGAAGCAAAAGAATTGCGCAAAGCAAAGCAAAATAAAAACCTGGAAGAACCTTTTTAAAAATTTATCTTATTCGAGAAGTTCCATTCGACGTATTACACGCCCGCGCCCCGATGTATTTACTTTGGAAATATAAAGATGAAAACGACGAAGAACAAAATGCAATTTGGAAAATGGATGTTTTCCCGGGAAAAGTTTTTCCCCGTTTTGCATAATAACTTTTCCATTTGAATGTCCAGGAAAACGTAAATAGATACACTATGCAAAATTTATTGCCGTACTTTGTGGAAGTTTTCGGGGCGTTACTTTATCCCCTTATACTTTACGCCCAACGTAAGATGTGGTCATTACTTTAACGTTTGATGGATCAAAAACAAATCTTCATATTTTCGCTGAGTATATATATATATATATATATATATATATATATATATATATATATATATATATATATATATATATATATATATATATATATATATATATATATATATATATATATATATATATATATATATATATATATATATATATATATATATATATATATATATATATATATATATAATTTGTTAATTAGTTTTCGTTTGTGTTACATATACCAAGTATAACATAAAATAAGTTCCAAACTATTCACATTTTATCCAGGTTTTTAAGGCTTAGTCCTTGAATTTTACACAGTGGAAGGTTAGTAATAATCACAGACACCCTTACAACAATAACAATGAATAAATTGTAAATTAATTAAAGCAGGTCTCCACACGAAAAAATCGAAATTGAAAATGGTTCTTCGACAACGAAACTTCGTGGGTCAAATAGTCAAATACAAGTATATATCACATTGTAGAGCTTAAAAAATATTTGACAACTTTTTTCTATTTTATCAGTCATTTTAATTATTTATATATATATATATATATATATATATATATATATATATATATATATATATATATATATATATATATATACTTGGTGTATCTAATATAAACGAAAACTAATTAACAACAAAAATTGTAAAGCAATCTTCGGAAATGATCACAATGTTAAAATACATTTTCTTCCCGTAAATCTATTAATAAAAATTTACGTTTAGGCAACGTTATAGACTAACATATTTTGATCATAATCTAGCCTTATAGAAGATATATTTATGGAATAAATGTTTATACTTAAAATCGAAAATTATGATTTTTTCTTATCCTAAATATTCCCAATGGGAAAATAACAATTTCCTAGTTTCAACGCACCGACTCTACAGCCTCCATGATTGATGTGACTGGCAGGCCGAATGCGGTTCAACGACCAGTCCAAGGTGATTCGTAATGCAGAGTCATATTTACAATGGAAAAAATTACGTGTGAGCCGAATATGACGCATAGTTCTTAATGGCATTAATGCCGTGATTTTGGTGACGAAATGTACTCGGGGGATTCGAATGATTTTGAACCACTTTCACTTTATTGCATTTTTATTACATATTACTTAAAGATATGTGCCCCACATCCAATGTTATACACGGTGGAACAAAAAGTTTTAGAATTTTGTTTTAAAATTATTGCAAAAAAATTAAAAATAATGTTACTTGTACTTGTGTTACTTGTTTCGTCACTTATAGTGACTGACTGTTTAATAAAATAAAAACAAATACAATACAATACAATAAATAAAATAGATTGCTTTAAACTGTTTACTGTAAACTGTAGATAAAAGAGGTAAATAAAAGATGAAAACATGCCTTATACGAAGATACCGTGAAGTTGGTATAGGTTTCTTTTTGAAAGTGAAGCGTTTAGGTTACGTATTTTTGTTAGAACGGAATATTTATCATAATTTTTGGTAAAAAATGTCTGCTACTGTATAATCTAATGAGAGAAACTGAGATATTTCAGTAGAAAGTTTAATTTACTTTAATTTTTAAATTAGTACGACTATAGGTCGTATTTTTGAGAAAACAACGAAAATTTGAATATCTTAACATTAACTCTTCACAGGGTTTAAAAAACTCCAATTGACCTCTATTATTCTATATATGCCGAACCGAATCGCCCTGTATATGTATGCGAGCACCATAAAAAATGTAATTCCCACCGATAGAAATTCATCTTAAAAAAGTTGATTATTTCGAGCAATGACTAGAACGGAAAATACGATTTAGTGGACTGCTAGAGTGTCCATAAAATAAATGAATTAATCAAAACTATTAAAAAACATATATTTTGAGGTTTTGGTCACATAAACGAAGTACCTACAATTTTCTGCAGTTGATAACGTAAGGAGACGAAGCAGGAAAACAATCGATCGGTAGAGGAACAATCTTATAGCTAGCTATTTATGTGAATTGTTTAAATGTACATCTCCACAGCATTTCTGGGTAAGAAGAATGTTGGGACCGTCGGTCCTACCCGACGCCACTGTCCTGAGAATTAGCCCAAGGATGCCACTCAATCTCTATGTTACTTTATAGCTATACAAACGGCGTAATTATATGTGAGTCAATGTTTTTTATCGACCCCACACAACAATTTTTATGGGACACGTATTAGGAGGTAACCGCGACTTCTACTACTACAAAATACAGTTAAAATCGATCTTTTCAATTCGGTTGGGGTCCTATAGGCCGCCCGCAGCGTTCTGTGTGGTCCCCCTGTCAACGATCATGTCGCTCTTAATATTGTTTATAACATTGTTTCAATTTCAAAGATTAAACCTAATATTATCGGGATGCCATAAATTGCGACGACTCCTCGGCCTGAATATAAATTAAGTTAATCACCGGTTTACGACGAACACGTCTTGGTGGGTCACACAGATCAGGTATTTCAATGACTTCGGGGTTCGAGACTATTTTTAACCTACGACGAACCTGTGGGGCGAAACACCCGACTAACATCAAACGAACTCATCGACTAGAAATTTGTAAATTTTCAATTTTCGTTGCAGCTAATTTATTTTTATTTCTGACTGTGCCGATAGTTTCGTATTTGCAACAGAATTGCAAGCCGATCGAGTGAAATATAACAAACTTAAGGTCTCTTCCGAGATAGAACCTCTAATAATTTCCTGATAATTTCAAAACCAAGGTAAACGAGCATTACCATTTTTGATCTTTTTTTTGCTGGTAAGTAACAACAGTCCATATAATCTGCACATTATTTCCGTGTACAACAAGGTACAATAGATAATTATGAATGTACAAGTGAATTCAAACGAAGGGCAGCTTCAGCTGTAAATGGCAAAAAACCACGCCCCGCAGCAAACTCTATATACTTCAGAAAATAATATATAAATTTTGTACAACAACTTCAAAACTTTGAAAACATACTGATCATATAATATTATTTTTGTATACTGCTAATGTTAGTTTATTTTATTAAAGAAAGAAATAAAAAAAATATTGGAAAAACTATTCAAATAAAAATTAAAACCATTCTGGAGTTAAAGCAGATAGTGCACCACAAAGGCCACCTGAAAAGTCGTGACGACCACCTTTTAAAAGAACCAAATTTACCAACTATATATATATATATATATATATATATATATATATATATATATATATATATATATATATATATATATATATATATATATATATATATATATATATATATATATACATATATATATATATATATATATATATATATATATATATACATATATATATATATATATATATATATATATATATATATATATATATATATATATATATATATATATATATATATATATATATATATATATATATATATTACTTAAAAGAATTTTATTTTCACTTATTTTACACATTCTTTAATTAGAATCTTCATTGGAATACGATGGAGATGAAAGTCCAACTCTTAACTCTCATTCACGGTTCCCACTCCATATTCACCAACTCTTTGAAGCAAGCATTCAATTGTAATCAATGACTTCTGCAACCAGATTCTGTCACAGAGTGTGATGTATGCAAAATGTTTATTTGTTGGCAAGTAAGAAGCTATAAATAATCGATGATGCTTCCTCCATTACGTTATCGCCAGCGTGAAGATCTTAAATTACGTTTTATTGGTCTTTGGGACGTTAACGTTGAGCCAAGCCATTATATAAATTTATTTTGGTCTGTCATACACTTATTTGTAGACCGACCGTGTCGCAGGTTTTGGCTTTACAACGAAATTATTGACTTGGCAAGTGATTAAATGATACTAATTTAAAATTTGTAAAATACGTTTAGTGGTCTATACACACAACAATTAACTTCATTAATAAATAATTATTAATAATTAAAAAACTAATTTGATGAAATTGTTGTGTTGTTGTCGCTAGTAATAAAGGCATGGATTAGTAGTTAGTTATAATATATAACGAATTATAACAATGTTACATAAATATAATGAAAAAAGTAAAAAAGTTTAAACAGCAAAAGCGTCACAAAGAGAAAGGAATTATGGATTATAGGTGTTTCATTAGTCTCCGCTGTCCGTCCTTTACTGGTTCATAGACCAAAAACACGTCTGGCACTATTATCGACCACAAGTATTATAATATCATTAACAATTTTTCCATTGTTGTCGTCCTTGAGTCGGTAGCTACACTTCTTCTTCAGTAGTTCGGCATTCGTATGTGTTTCATCAATTCTAGCTCTTCACCCTTTCATCCATCAAAGCTTTTCATCCTTTACTAGGTAACCATCATTCATTTCTTCTCATAGTGATTATTTCGTAATTTAGAACAATTCATTCCTTCAAAAACATGCACAAGCATAAAGTCCATTCATTCTTTTAGGCTATTTGTTCTAGGCTTGTCTACGTCAAATATCTTGCTTTTCCTGCCAATTGCAACCTTTGAGATGATTAAATTTCTTCCGACATGTTTTATGTCAACAATTCCTTGATATTCTGCAATATAAAATCCACCCGTTAGTTGTCAATATTCCCTTCCAGATATCAGATTTTAAAATTTTAGAAAACGCCTTTGATGTCACAGGACAAAGTAGGACATGGTAGAGCTACGATATAACGTAAAAAGAATATAAAAATTTAGTGCCATCAATATCGTCAAAGTGATAAGCACTCGTCTATAAATAAAACCATGCATTAGAAATTATTTCTCTTATCAATGAGAGTTCTGGATCTAGATCCTTGCAGGAATAATATTTTCCGATTTTTAATGGCAAAAGTATACATTTTTAGAGGCATCATAAAATATCAATTTCATACCAACTGCATATTTCTGACAACACAATTATAACTATAAATCCAATAGCACTTAAGTCGCAATTTTGCGCTTCAACTACCAATTTTAATGAGAAACTGCTCTTTACCTTCTAGACTCTACTATTATTATTATTTTTTTATTAACAATTAACTTATATAGTAATATATAATTCAATGCCCTGCAACTCCAAACGAATTCGAACAACATCATTAAGAAGCTAATTAATTCTGCGAAATAATAATCGCTCCCTCTTCTTTCCATTTATCCACCGTCTCGTATACGTCGATTGGACGGCCTACCCGAAATGCGACGCGACGATAGCGCAGTCTCTGTCTTTACACGCGCCCTCTGTCGGCGACCCCGCTCGCCAACTTTAATAGAGTTGAGCCGTACGTAATTTATTTGGCGGCGAAGAAATATGGCCCATAACTTTGTATGAAAATAAAGAAGAATTATATGAACATTATAAATCAGCCTTTTGCTCATTTTTGCCAGAGAAACCGTTCGAATTTATTATTTTTGCCTAATTAAATAGCCGGTATAAATTCTTGAGATTCTCCGGGTTTTTGCTAAAAAGTTTCGCCGTTCATGGCTATATATAGGGGTCTATTTAGAGCTGCAGTTTGTAGATATCGATTGCACCGCTATGGAAGGTAAAGGGGGTGGGTGCTCGATAAATTGCGCGAAGTACAGGGTGTTAATAATTTGACGCTATGTACGGGGTGCAAAGTTTGGGTTTCTTTAAACCGAAGACCCCATTTTTCTAATCAATAATTCAAAGTATTTTCTTTTCATTTTCATTAGAAGTGTGTGAATATTTGCAATTTATATAATATTTATATAATATAACTGATAGAAAGTCAGAAAGTATTTCGATCGAAAATATGTTTTTCTAATTTCTGGAAGCAGGGTAGTTAGATAAACAGAAATATGAAATTGTTGGAACAATAACTACTTACAAACTACTTACGTTTTCTTGAGTTGTTATAATTTACCTTTTATAACAAACAAATTTACTTCAAGGTCTGGGTGAGAGTTATTCATATTAATGTCGGGTGTTTGTTCTAGACCTTTCATACGCCAAGTTTTGGAGATGAGGAATTCGACATACCAGCCATTAACCCCCAGCAGCAACAGCACGGTCAGCACACACAACAAGGACACGGGGAACACTATCAACCACCTATGCAGGTTAGTTATTTTGCTTTATTAATAGCACTCGCTTTAACTAACGACACCCTAAACTGCGACAACACAACTTCCCAACTGCAAAAGTATATTCAATAGTCATCTGTGGTCAAACTAATTAAATTTAATAAAAATAAAAAATACCTGCGTGACAAACTAATCGAATGTAATTTATTTGGTTACGTCCCAAATTTTACCCCATTTTCAAGGAACAACTTGTTTCTTTCGAAAATCGATGAAATCGAATTTTTAGAAAGTATCTACGCTCGTATAAAAATTTTATATCTCGGTAACGGTAGGTCCTATGGGATCGTCGTTGATACAGAAATGATCACCGTCGAAAAAATTTTTTTTTTATCTGTCCGTTCTCCGTTCTCGTCTTTTGGTTCTTCCTGAATAACTTTCGAACCGGTGGAGCTACAAAATTGAAATTTGTCTCCTTTTTAATCCTCCACGAGATACATAAGATTGTAAGACATGGCCTCGATCCAACGCCGGCATCTATCTTTTTTTCGCGATTTTCGACTGTTTTTTGAACATTGCTATAAAACACGATAAGTTTCCGAAATTTGAAGCAATCGACTTCATATTTAGCACAAATATGCAGCTTTTGCCTCGTGACGGAACCTATTGAAAATGGAGCTCCTGGGGGGGAGGGTAAGTATTTTAAAAAAAATTAAATTCGCGTGTGCAATCGTCTACAAAAAAGACCATTTCTCAAAAACCGTTTACAAGGTCGAAAACATTCTTGAATCAGAAAACGCAGAGGATACGGCTCCATAAACTTTTATTCTTGACAATTTTTCAAAAATAAACAGGGTGCGCCGCAAATTCAAAAAACTGCAAAATGGGTCCCCCTATTATTTAAAATCGGTTATGACTGAAAGATTATGATTCAGATTTTTATATTTCGGTATAGCCGACCTAAACAGCAAAAACTTTTGTACCTAAGGTTTTCACCTATGGTACAGGGTGTTCTTCATATTCCGTGAGAGATGTGTTAAGTCTCCTAGATTTGCAACTTCAAATTCAGCAGAGAAATAAAAGTCCGTGTCCACATCTAAACGGTAGAAATTGGGTGCATTCAAATTTTACCAAGTATTTTTAAATAAAAATGATTTTTTTTGGTAATTTTAGCTTCTAGAAAAATATGTAATCCATAATCGTTCACCCGATCGGCAAAATTCTTTAACCAGCAGACGCGGAGGATTCAGTGCAATAACATTTATTTTAGGCATTTTTTCGATTACATACAGGGTTTTCAAATTATAGGCAAAAATCTAAAAGACCTAGAAAATTGCTATTTTACAGAGTAAATTATTAGCCGTAAATCAAAAATCGTAAAAAATATGGCTAATTGGTTCAAACAGTGTCATAGGCCGCATCGAGAGCTACAATTTTTGTATTTGCGGTTTTCGTCTATCAGATAAGCTACTCGGGATATTTGAAAAAATCCATATTGAAATCGTTATTTCGGAGGCTGTTAAGACGCGATGACGTCATTGATTATTATGGCGCACTGCATGGTTTCAGAAAAAACTAATTTTCTCGAAAACCATTTACTATTTTCAAAATATTTTTGACCCAGGAAACGTGGAAGATCTAGGGCTATACCTCTACTTCGAACATTGTTTGGATCATATATAGGGTGTGTCGTTTATGGGCAAAAACTCTAAACATTCTAAAAATTTCCGTTTTTGTGGGTTAATTATTGGCGCTAAATGAAAACCCGTTAAAGATGGGATAATTTTACTTAAACAGTATCATAAACTGTGTCGAGAGAAAGTTTCAGGTTTCGTCAATTATACAGGGTGCCGATATTTGAAATAACTATCATTGGACAACGCTATTATTTGTGCAAATTTTAATATTTACAGATGTTTGCTGTAACTTTGAAGTTCGACGAGATGTGAAGGACATTTTATACAAGGTGCATGCGCAATTAAATTACATCGATTTTGTGAAAGTTCCATAGTGGTCCGCAGGAGCGCGATAAAAAAACAATGCGTCTCTTTACCACGCGAAACCGCGAAGCTCTTTCCTTTTATGATAAAGAGCTGCTTCGTGCTAGACGCTACGAACTTGCTCCGCAAAGATTTTTCGAAAGCAATCTTATTATATTTCCGTACCATTGCATTTTCTTTAGTCAAATAAACCAAATCAATGCTAATATTTGCTCCTAAGGTGCCTGTTCGGATCCAAATGCTCACTGTAACTTCTACATCCTCTTCATATAATAAATATTAGGGTTTTCAAAGGCCTTACTCTGCCCTTGTACAAACTATGACTAAGTTCATTCATCTAATGCTTTTTTTGGCGATAGAGTTGATTCTTCTACTAATTTACAAGACTAAAACTATCGTTGTGTTTTAAAATTGCAAAATACGAAATGACCCTTTGACTCTTACTGAAAATTAAAGTATAAATTTAAGAAAAGGGCTACTACTGTGTTGCTCTATCCCATTTACAAAAATATAAAAACTATTTCTTGAGGTACTGTACCACTATACCAAACTATTTTTGGTTTATGCGCCTTTATTATCCTTGTAATTTTGGTTTAAAGTTATTTTTTCTGCTTAGGGCATTTCCCACCGATGCATAAATCACCGATTGCCATATTCAACTATTTGTAATTTGAATTGACAATATTCTTTCCAAAACAGGACTTTTTATAAGAAGTTGAGTTTTTTTTATATAATTGGATTTTTACTCTCTCAACTCCATCCAGTTACACAGTATATCACAGAAACACCTCCAAAATTTGCTGCTACTGACACCATTTGCCCTTTTAGCCCCTGTTTCCCAGTTCCCAATATATGCATAAATTGATTGAAATAAGAAAAAACTCTTGAAATCTGTCAAATTTTGGGTTCAGCCCGGCTCTTCTCCTGTCATCCGCACTTAAGAACTCAGGCATAGGCAGATTGCTCTTTTCTGGAAGACAACTCGAATCTATGGCGAGCAGGGGCTGCGTTATATATAAGCGAAAAGCAGCTCGCTGACCAGTCAGTCAAAATTGAAGCCGGGACGTGCAAATGTAAATAACCAAATGAAATAAATTATTACTAATGTGTATAGCATTATTGTATAAATAGTAACTTTGTTATTCCTGGATGAAATACAATTGAAGGTCCAGTAAGTTTTACGCCGGGTGGCTTGTTTAATTTCACCGTCTTGTTTAATGCAACGGAACGATTTTAGTTGGTTTAAAAACATAACAATATTTTTAATTGTGCTTTTAGCCAATAAATTTTTAAATATCCACCACATTTTACAACGCTCCCCCGTATAAAAGTGATTAAATCGCGATCCGTCCACACATATGAACGAAATGTTTCGACGTTATTGTTTCTGTTTCTGCACTCGAGATCGGCAGTCGGCGCGTTATAAATAAAACATCTGAAGTCAAGTGCTGTGCAGAGTCCCTAATAAGATACATATTTTCTCATGGTAAATACGAAACATATTTATTACATTTTTCGTTTTGGCGGGCGTCACGTCGACTTCAGTGCTACAACACATGCCGATCGCGCGATGTCGTTTTATAGTTTTTACGGTGACGGTGACACGAAAAAAAATTGTTTTGTCTGGCTTAAAAAAACCTTTCCCGCTTGCGAAGGTATAATTTTCAACTACTTTCACACTAGATAATGTTACGTTCATGCAACGTACATTATTATATTTATAATTGCTATGATTATAAGTAAAGGAGAAATTTGTTTAAAAAATGTAATCGTTCGTTGAATCACGGCCATACGAAAGGTTTCGTTGGTTACAAAAGCGTGAATTTTTTATTTGAAAACTCGTCGCGTTTCTAATTAAATTTGGTCATTCCTACATTCCAAACCTGATGAGTCACGCCAATCCAATTTGAAAGGTTTATTGCGCATATTGATACTAATTGGGCGTATCTAAATTGTATTACATACAACCACAATAAATGCGGTTGACTCTGAAAAAGGAACCGTTAGTTTTCGTTTTTATTTTTTTTTTCATCGTTGGTGCTGTTGAACTAATATGTAATTAGTTTTTATTGGAAATTCCTGGAAATTTCGGTATACCAAACATTTTTAATCACCTTGCCGAGAAAGCGGGAAAAAGGTAAAGGCTCCGAATTGTTATGACCGCATTTACTCACTCCTTGGTTAGTTCTTATAGTTCGCTTCTTACACCATGCCTTTTCAGCATAAAATTTTAAACCTGTGCTTTGCTAGATATTGTGAAGAACAAAAGTTTTTTCTGTCTTCTTAAAGGATGATTCGTCAATAATTGAAATTATTTTAACTGTAGAATCTTGAGCTTAAAATATTAAAATTTAACCCAAATCAATTACTTATATTCGTTACGAGTTAGATTTGACACGAGCAGTGCGAGCGCTTAATAAACGAGTAACTGAAGTTTATCAACATGTTGCATAGACTTGTTACTATACCATTAGTTTTTGGGTACATTTTTTGCAAAAGAGCACGATTTACCGAAAACATCGAATGGCTCCCAAATCCGTGACTAAATTATAGGAAATTTTTGAAGTAGCAGCTAACAGACTAACAGGCGATAGTGTTTTAGACTAGGGAGTAGAAAATTTTAAGTGTAATATGCATCCATTCGTTGGAAGAAATTAATACGGATTAGGGTTTAATTTTCGTAATAGGTGACATCAAAATAATTTTGCAGCTTTGCAGAGAAAGCGTATCTTATTTACAGATAAAGAATTGGAGAATCAATTTTTTTTTTTTACCAAAATGCGCCACTTGCCCCTGTGGTACACATTTATTTAGCTTGATCTAGTAGGATATATACATATTCCGTCAAGTATGACAAGGAGATGCTTCAAAAAGTTTTAAAGTGCTGAGCAAAAATATTTTTAAATAAAATAGCCTTTGTAAGGAGTCACATTTGATCTAAGTGGTCTTGGTTAAATCGTAATAGTTTGGGCTCTGGATTCTACACATATTATTAATGAATCAATGGTACAGTCACGAACGGAAACTTAAACAGGTCTAATTAGTTTCATTTTAAAATATTTAATTCGATTTTTTCATAAAATCAATAGTGAGTACCTATCCATATGAAATATTTGCAAGTTTCTACTAGCAACCTATTGAACTAACCTATACAATCCCCATATATGGTAGATTACGTCTGTTGATGTTGTTGTTGGTGCTGTCCTAGGTTGCCGTCTCTTAACCTTTACTCTTCGTTCCAGGGCATGCAACAAATGAGCCAACAAATGAACCAACAGCAAGACGCGATGGGGATGCACGACCCTACAGGTGGTTATCAACAGCCCCTTTACCTATCCGGGCCCGATCACGGTATGGTCAATCAGCAGTACCATACCCCCCAAAGTAACTATTCAATGAGCCCCAGTCAGCAACAACAGCACAACAATCAGCTATTGATGATCCATCAACAGCAACAACAACAACATCAACAGATGATGATGAGTCACGGGCAGCCGCCTCCCGGCTCGATGGGTCAGTACGGGGCTTCGCCCCAGCATCCCCAGGGCAGGGGAAATAGTCCCCCGGCGCCACCCGGGCAAGAACACACGACCAGTGAGGATAGTGATGATAGCACGCCTCATCCTGCTATGGTACGTCTAGCATTGATTGTTATTCCGACGACTTAAACATATTTCCATAATGATAAATGGTTTGAGATGATTTGCGAAGACCTTAGCACCTGGGAAAAAATGGAACGTGTTCCAAACTTCTTAAATAACTGCATCTCTATGATCTAAATTTAAATGAAGAGTGTGAAATCATTGGTAAACGATTAAAATCGACAACAAACGTAAACAAAGGCTTAACATCCACGCCCAAAAATTAATGGAAAACCACCCTTGAGATTGAACTCACTCGCTTGGCTATAAGATGCGAGCGAAATTACTCATAAAAAAAAAGAAAAATTATTCTACGCGATAGAACGATTGCCTAACTTTCGAAAGCTGTGCTAGTAAAATCCGTTTTATAGAAATGCAACAGCAACAAGGTATACACAAAATTTGAAGCTTGAACAATTTCATCAATTGCCTATTAATTAGAAATTAATGATTTTGCCGAGTAATAATTATTCTGTAAGGTTCGCTTTAGTTGCCAACACGTGTCATTGCCACATCTTCCATTTATTGTGTGTAGAATCAAATCGGTACATGCATACATGGTAACAGCAGTGTTAAAATCTATAAAATTACTGTAACGCCATTGGAAAGACGGCCTCTGCATGCAGGGATTTATTTCTATATTTATTAGAAGTCAGTGATAATCCCACGAATTAGCTGCTAAAAGCATTTGTTTGTGGATTTGATGTGGATTGGAATCTGGAATCCCTAGGTGGCCGTATAAATAATTAATTATTTACCAACCTTTCGGAGTGCTCAAATCAGCTTTTTTAAATGCGCTTTCAGTGACATGTGCAAAAAATGTAATGCTCGTTGTAGTTATGTAAGTACGAGCCATTGTTTAGCAAGCCTCTTCTGGGTATATGTGGTCACTGGTATATCATATACATTCAAACTAAATACTTGCTTAAACGTAAATATAACTTATCTTATTCAATTTCATCAGTTTGGTTAGCAATTTGAGAATCTCATATTCCTATGCCTATGGATGTCGGGATGACTTTGAAACTAAAAATACTTTTATATGTGATTTCCTAAAATTAGAAATTGGAAATGGAAAATATGTTTACATTTTTGTTGGGTAAATGAAATAAATATATAATTTCAGATAAATAAAATAAAATAAATAAATAAATAATTTTAGATAAAGAGATATATCGGTTAGTTGCACCGCCAGCGGTGTCGCAAGCTGGCAAGAATTGCCGCCTAAAAATAAAGTAACGCTTCTAAAAAATTAGAGAGGAGGGAGATAATCAATTCTCAGGCATAAAATTTCGACCGGAATTCGCGTAACGTAAAGGCAAAAACAAGTAGGACGTCTCGATTTTTTCTGTTATTAGCAAAAGCCTATAAGAGATCACGAAGAGAATTTAACTATTCATGTATTTATCTGAAAAATTTATCAGATATATTTCTCAGTTTTTATGTTAAATGCGCCAACATTTTTGTTTTGCTTTTATTCTCCTAATTTAATGGATTTATTTTATTTTATAAAAATGCAGGGTCTAAATTTATCTCTTTCCGTTTGGGTAAAAATTTTTTGAATGGAGAAGACATTTTTGTTGCAATAACTCTAGCAATTTTCTCTAGTACTCCCACCAAATATTGAAAAATCGATTAAACACGCCTGCCTTATTTATAATTGATAAAGTTTAATTATTTTGTAGGTTTTCATAACAAGCAGCGAGAGTATATTATGGTGTAATCAAGACCTAAACATTTTTCCTGGAAGACCAAACCATAACCACTTCTGAGAATGTTAAAGAAATGCACTTAAAGCAATTAATTAAAACGCTTCAAAGCCGCCAAGTAAATTCTAAAAATTAAACAGATGGTGTGCCGGTTAGATATATAGCCGGCGATTAAGTTTGGTTTATGTTGTACTAAAGCAGTATTTGGGTTGTTGATTTAAACGTAAAATATCGAAATTCGACGGCCAATGTGCGCGTCATTCTAGAAGGGGGAACTGCACGGCGTCATAACATACAGCACCATAGTTACTTTGTTGCAACAAACGGCAATAATTATTGATCTATTCTCGGCTTTAAAACTGCGCGTTTAGACGCCACATATTGACATTTTTAAAGGTGTCGAGAGCGTCCACTGACCCACGGTGCAAGTCTTGATATTTTGTTCCAACTCAATTTCAATTCGGTCAAATTAAGCGAACGTTTATTTACAGATAACTGCTATGAAGCGGCCAAGTCCAGAACCGGCAGATCAGACGCTGACGAAAGCCCAAAAGAAACCGAAAGTTCAAAAGAAGAAAAAGAAGCGGGATCCGAACGAACCTCAAAAGTAAGTAGGTTTAGGAATATTTTTCTCACAATCGATGTATCGTTTTCGATCTCTTTGAAAAAGCTAATACCAATACATTTCAAGACCGCATTGAAACGCCTATGTGTTAGTGATTTGCAAGATATTTAGTATATTTACGAAAGAATATTATTATGTCTAATATTTAAATGATAGAAAGCAAGTGACAAATTTTCGGATCAGGTGCAAATACTCACGGGGGTGCCAGAGCGGTTCATTTTATATCCTTTGTTATTTATCGTGTATACTTCGGTCATTCTAAAATCATTAATTTTCTGTAAAATTCAAGCGTTTGCCGACGATATACAAATTTATTACTGTTTTGATGATGATGATCTCTTGAAGGGAGAACAAAACATAAATCGCGATTTATATATACTTTAAGTAAACTCTCCAACAGCTATAATCTTAAGTTAAACCCTACAAAATCTTCATTATTACTTTTTTGTAATAAAAATAAAACGAATTTTTTTTTCAAAACTTCTGGATTCCTCCTGCGTCGGTTTTTGCTGATCATCGGTTATCAACTCTCTTGTTTACAGAGCCGTAAAACTATCTCAGCCCGAGCCACTGAAAAACGAATTAAAACACCTTACCTCTGCTCTTCTCTCTAATAATTTCCACATTAAAGATATTAAGCGTTCCATCAAAAATTACACTTCACCACAACCTTCCTATAGCAATGAGGCCGAAAGCAATCCTACACTTGCCACTGTGGTCCTTCCTTACATTCAAAACATCACTGACCACATATCAAAGGTATAACGTCAAAACCAGATTTACCACTTGTCCAATAATCTCTTAACATCTTCGGTCCATCAAAGACAAAATTCCATTTGAGATGCCAGGAGTTTACAGCATCCCATGCATATGCGGCAATGAATACATTGGAGAGACCGGACGAAAAATATCAACCAGGCTCAAAGAACAGGAAAGAGCCTTATGACTAAGACAAACTCATCAGCTGTTGTCGAACACACACTCATGAAAAATTCTTCTACCAACGAAAAATCCGAGAGTATATAGAAATCTATGACCAAATTAACAATCTTAACCGCGACTCAGGTCTCTACCTGCACCAATTTGGGAATCGGTCATCCGAGACGGTGTTTATACCCTCATTAGTGCCCCCCTCAAACAATATATAAGCAAGTACAGAGTAAAATACGAGCCAGTTTCAGTCAAGCTCTGAAGAAGCCAACAGGATGATCGGCGAAACATCAGCAATTTCGACTCAGCAAAAACCAACGCAGGAGGAATCCAGAAGTTTTGTAAAAAGTATTACAGTAGCTTGTGGAAGTTTCTTTGAAAAATTAATAAGATGAATAGTATCAAAAATTCTTTAAATATTTTAATTGGGAATTTGTTTAGATGGCGAGCTAAGAGGTAAAGAACATTTAAAAAGCATATTTCAAAAGCTTTAAAAAGATTATACCGTAATATACAAATTTTAGGTCAAAAGTTAAGGAAAAATTTTGTATATGGTTTGTTTTTAAATAATGAAAGTGAGTGTAGAATTCAAAATATGTAAAAGTAATTCGTGCGCTGGGTGGCTTGCGTTCGAGTCTCGTAGAGTACTACATTTCTGTACTTTTTTAAAAAAAGACTATAAACGATCCCGATACTCCATTCTCTATTCGGAAACGAATAGCGTTTAGGCGTGAAATACATAACAGGAATGTTAGGGCTAGGGAATATTTAACTACGCCTAATCATCTGAGTGCCATGTTTAGGAGTTTTTCGTATGTAAAATATTATAATTCAGTACCTAATAACCTGGTAAATTTAAATTGTAATACGTTTAAAATTAAAGATAAGAAAGAATTACTGCATCTACAGAATTTGCTGTAGAGATTTTTTCTGTTTTTTTTTCTCATGCATTTGTTATAACCATGCTTTAAAAATGCTAAAAAAAATTTGTTGTGTACTATTGTGCCACGCACTGGTTCAGTAGAGTAGCAAAGCTAGACTGCGCCAGTCGCCGGAACAACTAATTGGCATCTATATTTGATGTTTGTTATGAAATAAAGGTCGTTTATTACTATTATTATTATTATTGTTATTATTATTAATTGCAATAAATTATTATGATCTTTCATCCACATATAACCACAAATTTTTTCTACTCACTTTCCCGAAATACCCAAATAGACACCAGTTTCCAGTTCTGGGATACTTCCACACAGGAGTGGGCGCAATCGGATGTTTCCGGAGATATTATTACCCACGTACAAAGGAAACTAAATACCATTCTACAAATATTCGTACGTTTTTAGTATATTATACAACAGGTGCGGTAAACGACATTTGACTCACGAGTTTATTGTTTAATAAACGAGTGACCTAAAAATTTACCGAACGTGTTACATACTATACTTTTTCTACGACCTTTAGTTTTTGGGTACATTTTCGCAAAACAACACTTCAATGACATGACCGTCAGAATTGACAAACGTCAAAAGTCAAAGCGTAGGAAATATCTCCGAAAACATCCGATTGCTCTCAAACTGACGTGGTAAAGTGACGCTTCCCGCACTCTAGATCGGTGTGTAATTAGGTATTTTACAGAGGGGAGTAGAAAAATTCATTTAAATTTAATATTCAACCGGCGTATGTTAAGAATTATTTATTTAAATTTTCAGCTCGACAACGCGTCGCTTAAGTTTCATAAGTTTGAGCGATTTAAGATTTGTATTAAAAAGTTTACGGCGTCTTACAACCATAGCCTAATTCGAATAACACTATTAATCTCGCACAAAGCAAATGCGAACGTCGACTTTTTCAACACAAATTAGCACGCGAAAATGTAGCGCGAACCTTTCAAGAAAACTTAACAATGTTTCTCGTTTAAACTTGTCAAAAAGGAAAACTTTATATCGTGTTGATTGTGTACGCTGCGCGCGGAACTTTGAACTTTTAACTGTTCCCTGTCTCCCTTTTTCTTCGTTGCCTGCATTTCTCCGTCCTATTCTAGTCGTTGTTGTCGTAAAAAGTCGAGGGCTTGGAACGTTTAACGGGTGGTATAAAATATCGATTTGTGCGAGAAGCAAGGGGGGAGAGAGGTTGAATATACACCAAAAGGAAAGAGCTGTTAAGAAATTTTAATTTGTTACTCGTCCCTAGATATGTGGAATAACTCGTATTCATGTAAAGGTCGTCCTGAAGCTCTGATGTTCAATCGTGGTAAAGGTTTTGTTGCCTGTGTCCCGAACGTTGACATCATATCTACGCGTCAATTAGATTAGAATTAGAAATTAGCAGGCGGCATAAACAAAACCGTAATGGAATATGTTTTACGATAAACTCTTATCTAGTATCTCAAAAAAGTCTTGGATTTAAGATTTTTTTGGATCTTTTATTCTTAGTCAAATTATTGAAAATATTATGATTTATTATTTAGTTGAAAAATAGAATTAATAAAAACATAAATTTGTTATTGTTGAATCACCAAAAAGAGATAAACTTGAAGTATGTCAGATGTCATTTTAGTCACGAGTTTGTTTTAGTACAAGCTTAATAAACGAGTGACATACATTCACTGAGTGACTTGTGACTTGATTGTCAGAACTGACAAACGTCAAAATACTATTGCTAAAATTTACCGAAAACATGCAATCGCTACCAACCCTGTGACTAAAGGGCCGAATTGAAAGTATTTGGTATGGAAAAATATAATTATAGCATAATAAATTTAAGTATCCAAAATTAATTGGTTTTAGGAAATACAAAGCTGGCTTTTTCTTATGGTTTTATTTATTGATTGAGTTTTCAAATTGCTGCTGAAAGCGTGTTTTCAAATGACGATTCGCACAGGTGTAGACTTCTTGGATTTAAATGTATATTAGATCTGCATATGTGTATATAAAGAATCGGATGCTGATAAGCGTCACGATTTTATTAAAAGTAAGCTTTACTTAAAAAACTTTGTTCTTAATAATTTAACACTTTAATAGAATCTGTTTGTTATAGAAGACAGTAAGCTGCGTGCATAAAAAAAATGCTTAATACAAAGCCGCAACGTGTAGTTGGACACAACCACAAGCGCCCAAGTGCTGCAAATAAATTAGATAAAAAGCACTTTTTTCCGCTATCCTCCTTTTAATTCCATAAATAAGGTTTTGAAATATTTATGGGCGGGATAACGTTAAAGGTTCTTAGCCCCTTTTTGTAATACAGACGTCGATTTCCTTTGATCCTTTTTTTTTAAATTATTACACGATGCCGATCTATTCCCCTATGTGCGAGGGGGATCGAGAGCGACAAAAAACGCCATTTTCCAGATCGGTTCAAATGACGCGAATAAATAATGTATTAAGTCGGAAAAACGGCGGTCATTCCAGTGGTGGGGCATCTTGATCAAAGATATAAATAAGCTTAAATTATTGTAGTATTTTTAGGGGCAGGGAAAATGATTAGAGAGGATTTAAAACTCACCAGGTCTTATTCAAATTGGCGGTAAAGCGAAATTCCACCTCTGCATCTTAGCATATTCCAATCGGATTCTTAAAACCTAGAATTATTGCAAAATGTGTTGTTTAAACAAACTGTTATTTATTAGTAGTCAATGATAAACATAAGCTCACAACACCCGCTCAAAAACTTTGCTATTATTCGAATATAATTTTCACAATTATTGGTATAAATTTTATAAACTACACTTTAGTCACGAGTTTGTTTTTGTAAGCTAGTGTCTGTGAGGAATTTTTTACTATAGATTTTCTACGATACTCATTCAGTGAGTGTGACATCACTATCATAAGCACAAGCTACAGACTAAAATAGTATTCATTCTGTGACCAGCACTGACAAATGTCAAAATACCGCCAGTGTTTGAAATCTACCGAAAACAACCGATGTGACTTTTTAAAGTGACACGTTGCGCACACGTCATCATTGCATATAGTAGGAAGTAAAAAAAAACTGATTATTATGATTGCTTCAAACTAATTTTGGAGTACTTAGAATTAGTAAATATTTTGTATATCGTTGAAATTAATGACATTATTCCCCAAGGTGATAAGCTGTACCCATTTAATATCGACATCATAAAAATTATCAAAATAGCCGTTAACACAGGTGAATGTCAAAATGCCCTGTCAAAATACTTTCCTACTGTAGTAAAATGAAAAGCAATGTTTAAGTTGTTACCTTGTAATAATTAACTAATAAGGAAAGAGCATTTTGAGCATTAAGAGTTATTTGACACGAGCGGAGCGCAGCGGAGCAAGTGTTTAATAAACGAGTGACTTAAAAAGTTTACCGAACGTGTTGCATACTATACTTTTTCTACGACCGTCAGTTTTTGGGTACATTTTCGCAAAACAACACGACTACATTCACTGACATGACCGTCAGTGTTTGTTGTTTAACGGTCCATATATAAAATATAAATATATTATATTATTATATATAAAATATATAACGCTTATGTATAAATATAAAAAAAATCTTTAACAAATAAATTCACGTTGTTCCGACTCTGTAAAATAGTTTTCTTCAGGACTGCAACCTATTACACGCAACATTAAAATGGAAAGAATAACGTTTTCCCCTAACGGTAGCAGCCAAAATAAAGGGAGCGAAAAAGACATTTGGTATTATACGCGAGGCCATAAAAAAATTCACATTTCACCCCAGGAAAATTTGTTCTAGTGGATTTACGGTGCAGCTTTTGTATTTTATAGTCCATTACGGCTATACTGATGTGGCTGTTGACTGCTAATAGATAGCGTATATTAGCATTAACAAGCGTAATGACGATATGAGCCATATTATGGAAAAAACGCAAATTCCGGCATCCCATACATTAAATCTTGCCAACAATTAGAATCGAAAAACTTGCCCATTGAAAATTGTAAAAGGGGAATCAATTCATTGACTAACCTCATTGTATACGTTTTCCAAAACCATTCGCCTATTATATGTTAAGTAAGTGATATATAATCAAGATAAAATTCTCCAATATTAACTAGTTGAAATTAATTTTTAAAAAATAAGGGACCATCAATTTGAATGAATTAGAAATCGTATGAAGCATTTTCATTAATTTTTTAACTACATATTTAAAATAAGTTACTAATACATACCAAAAATCGCAACTTTAAATTGTGATTGAAGTTTCTTATTATTTCTATAAATTATTCGCCTCTAGCATATAATAATTTACGTCGGCGGCCGATGTCGACTTAACGCACCCGTCAAATGTCAAAAATCTGCACTTTTTTCGGAATTAAATTTCAATAGTCCGAAATTGAAAAACGACGTTAAGAAGTTGAAAAATGTTAAATAGTGTTTTAAGAGAGTAATTTTCCCTTTTTCTTTCTCTTTTATCTCATATAACAGTCCTGCTAATATAATACTTTTGTTTCCCAGGCCCGTTTCGGCGTATGCACTGTTCTTCCGTGATACCCAGGCCGCAATCAAAGGACAAAATCCCAACGCCAGTTTCGGAGAAGTGTCGAAAATCGTTGCATCCATGTGGGACGGACTGGATTCAGACCACAAAAATGTAAGAAATCGTATTTTATATTGTTTTTCCTGGTTCTGCAACGCAAAAAAAGTTGCATCAGCACGTTTGCTCGATTTTCACGTTGCAAGAAGTTCCTCCGATTTGAAACTACGACTTGCTGCCTTTTCTAGTTATTGCATTTTGTTGTTTACACGATGATGTTGCTCAAATAAATATAGGTTGAAAAACCTTTGAAAAATAAGTAACTAACTTATAAATAACGCAAGTTACTAAATATTACTAACCGAAAAATAATCTAACCTCAATCTGTGCCAATAATAAATAAGTATGTGTTACTTACCTTTATATAATTTTTAAATTAATTGTTCTAACCCTAATTCCCAATACCAATGAAATAAATTAGTAAATTTATAGTAAATTTAACGGTATAATGAGCACTAGGAAACAAATATTTTTTCGTGACGGAAAATGACAGTCTGATATTCTATATTAATAAGTAATTTGATAAAACAATTTGGTTTCATAAGATATTAACCAAAATTTCGTCTTTGCAGGTCTACAAAAAGAAAACCGAAGCGGCAAAGAAGGAATATCTTAAAGCCCTTGCGGCGTACAGGGCCAGTTTGGTCTCAAAAGGTGCTGGTGATAGCGAAGGCGGTCCGATATATGGCAATTACGGCAACTACAGCGGCCCACCGGGTGGTTCGCCTTACGGCGGTTACCAACCGCAGGGCACAATACCGTCACCTCCGATCACATCCGGAGCACCAACTCCACCTGCCCAGTCACCAATCGGTAAAAAACCCCCACAATTGATGGGCAGCATGGGGTCACCTCAGCAAGCGCACATGATGCAGTCACCGATGGGCGGCCACATGACTATGCAGCAGCACATCCAACAACAGCAGCAGCAACACAGTAGTTATATGCAACAGGTTTGTTTTTTGTGACAATAGTCCCGTTATTATTTATTCACGTTCTAAGATCAGGAAAATGCAAGCATGTTTTAGGCTAGATCATGATAATTCGTACCGTGACCGATTTATAGACGGGGAAACTGAAAAACTGACACTGGATGTGCCCCCCATGTCTGATGGACCAGGATTATATCCATTCAGTACTTGGTGATAACATACGCCCTTTAAAACGGTCCTTTAAATATAAAAACAGGGGTGAAAATTGACTGCAAATACCAGCTTGGCAGTTGTTTGACATATCTTTTCAAATACGCTTTCCTATCTGCTAATTCATAATGGAAAATTGAATTAATTGAAATTACTGCGGTGTGATTTGAGGAGTTGTTGAGGACGATTGTTGAATTTTAACATTTTCATTTGTTAGCAGTGATTTCCATGTTATAATGAATGTTGTATTCTTTTTTCTCTAATTCATTTAAAGAGATTTACTGTTTACTGCGGCGATGCCGCGCGCGTCTTTCTCCCGAAAATATATTTTATTCTAGTAATTCAAACGGGGATCCACGTTTCGATAATATATCCGGGTTATTAAGACGACTAGGGAATCTAACTCGATTAGACTAAACACTACTCGATTATTAAAAAGTAACATCTATAATAAAACCATAATGAGTCAACTCTCGCGTGTTTAACAACAGCTTGTCCTTTATAAAGCATTGTCTCTTTTTAGATTTATTACTTTTTAATAATTGAGATTTTTCTACATTATATACATTATCTATAATGTTTGTGAAGAAAGACCCCCTTCTTTTATTTGATTTATTCCACTCTTTTTTTGTTTTTTTTAGTGACATAATTTTTAAATATCTTCTCTTAAACAGTTGATATTAGCTTTGCCTAAAGGGTTTTCTCGCGATTACAGCTTTCAGGGGGAGGTACCGGAATCCATCTCACCCTTAATTCGGAAATTATGTTAAAAGAGTCCAATAAAACGCAACTTATCCATGGTTTCAGTCCTAATATCCTTTTGCTTCCTCCCAGAGGCTAGCTCCTAGAATACTTCCAGCATATCCAAGCAACTCCGTTCGTCTTCACCCATTAACCGTTTGTCTCTCGCCATTTTTCGGTCGCCAAGGTTCCTCAGCAGCAGCACATGCCCGTCTCGCCTCATCAGCAACAATCTCATATGCAACAACAGCAACAACAGCAGCAGCAGCAGCAACAGCAACAGCAGCAGCAGCAGCACATGAGTCCGCCTCCGTCAATGTCGAGGAGTTCGCCCCCCGTGTCTCAGACGGGGGGCGGGCCCCCTTCGTCGCAGCCGCCGCCACCGCAACAGCAACAACAAAATATGAACAACGCGCAGATGCGGCCGCCAAACCCTTGCATACGTCACGGCTGTCCTAACTCGGCCATCACCAGCCCCGAATGGGAGGACGAATACTGCAGCAACGAGTGTGTCGTCAGTCATTGTCGGTGAGTGAGGATAACTGACCCCTTTATTTGTGTTAGACATTCTTCCTCTGCTTCAAAAAGTAACCGGAGCTATTCGGTTCGTTTTTTTTTTATTAAATGCGCGTCAAACACTTGTCAAGATGGTATTTGTCTGTCAATGTTGCGATTTGGGACATAGTTATTCTCAAACATTTATTTGTTTAGTTTTAGCTGCAATTTATAACAAAACTTTAGTTATAGATAGTAATGGCGTTAATTATTTGAGTGGACCACATAGCTGCTAGATATATAAAGACCCTGCCTATGCTGAAAGTACAGGAACTTATGAAGCAACAATGTAAAATTTTTTTGAAAAAGTCTATTTAACGTGCACATATGCGAGATTAAAAATTTCGTTTTAACCAATGGCAAAATCTGACGTTGGACCCATAAGACTTAACGGTTTTCAACAAGCAATATGGCCGCTGTCAATCTTTAGGTCCGGCATTTTTTCGGAAGTATTTTCTCAAAATATGTCGAGATCCTATTAAATTTTCAGTCAAAAAAGGAGTTAAGGTGCGAAAAAGCAGTGCATTTTAATTTGGCGTTTTTGTTCTTTAAGCCCTATAGATATGATGCAATTTCTACACGTATTTTTTAATGTAACCTTCATAACCTCTATTGAAAATGTAAACCAAGTCGAAATCACGAAAGATGACTGCTAAAAGTCTAAATATAACTTTGAGATGCTAGATATCGCACAAGAAACATGGACACACCGTTTATTCCTTCACCGCAAGCCTAGTGAAGATATAATTATGAAAAGTGCTAATGGACAATTTGTTTAAAAAATTGTAAGTATTGGAACACAGCCAAGAAAATTAAAGACTATTATAGAACAAATTAGTTTTACAGAATTAAAATGAATATAATTAGGATATTTCATTTATCACTTAACAGAAACATCCTCATTTCCCTTGTTTCTATTATTTCTAAAACATTTTGTAGAAAGTTTAGCCATATTATTTATTGTATCACAAATTAAAAAACGAAATTCCATCGAAATAAGCAAGCACATTTTGCTCGAAGAAATTGCATCGTGTCCGCCATCTGCTAACAATACATGCAGAAAACCATGTAGAAATTAAGTTATACTTTGGCGCCGGGCACAGACTGTTCTGTAATTACTGAGCTCGGCGTTGCCAATTATGTTCGGATTTCAAAGATTGATGTTGCGTTATAAAAATTAATGAATTTTCCAGAAAAATTACGACAATGTCACAACGCGGTCAGTTGGGTGGTCGACGCATGCGCAAAGACCTTCTCTACGAACAAATCATAGCCACCTGCGGCGCATCAATTTTTCTCGTAATAGGGCCACTATATTATCTAATAGCTATATGGAGTTGACGCAAAAAGAAATACTTTAAATTTTTATTTTCAGTGATGTCTTTTCAAACTGGGTGGCCGGCAACAAGAACCAATCGCAGAACTTTTCCGCCGTCAAATAGATAGTAGTTTAGATAGGGGAACGATGCGACAACCGTCGGCAGAATAGGAATACGTTTATATTGATAGCAATACATATAATTTGGATATATCGAGGATTTCTAATTACGTAGGGAGTTTGCATGACGGAAACAAAATGTCGATAAATCAGTTTCGATCGTCGGATATGTAATAGTGAGAGGCTAGAGTTATAAATTAAACAGAACAAGATTGTAAATAAAATGATAATCATTTTTAGTAAAAAAGAACCTTGTGAGGTTGTATTGACGCAAGCAATACGAGCAATACGATTTCATAGTATTAGTTATACAATTAACTATTATAATCCTAGCGCATACTATTATTACTTGTATATTATTGCCGCGAGGGGGATCGGGTCCGACGAATACCGTTTCTCTCACATTCCGATCCGTCTCGCACGGAAAAATTGTTACGCCCATGCCGTGTATATGCATGTTGTCTTGGAAAACCATAGTTAGATATGTCCAAAGTACATAATAATATTATAAAAATTAGTTTATTATATCTATATAGTTAAGCCTTTACCGTTAACTCCCGTGATTGTTTCTTTTGTCGGAGGTGAGCGTCGACGAATATGAAAAAACTTTTTTTTTAGTTTTGAATTTATGTCGCAACAAAAAACCATCTATGATGTGCAATGTTTTCTTTATATAACATTAGTATTAATTTTTCGTTGTTTTGATCCCATTGTAAGTAGTATCAATGATTACTTGACTTTCGAACTTGGTAAAATTCGGATTTTTTCGCTTTTTTCTAGAGATTAAAGGGTTTATTTTACAATTTGTGTCTTTTTTTTATCGTTGAATAAACTTTCCACAACAGCCACATAAAAATTACGTTTTAAAGCGAGGCGACGGCAACGATGAGACAAAAAGATGGAAATGGGGGAAAATGGAATAACAACCAACTGAATATTAATTGTAATTGTACAAACAAACGTAAGTGAATTTGTCGCCAATTTTTTATATGCTGATAATTAATTATCCATTTCAAAAAATTGGGGAAAAATACTGGTTGTTGTTATTCTTGACTTGTCAACGCACGTTAGAATCAATACACTTATGAAGCGATAAGTCAATGCTACATTTTAAAATACTTAAAATGTAATTTTTCATATTTGCAAATTAAGGTCCCTTGATGTTGATAAAATCAAACCAAGAAATGCCAGACTCAGTCGATGGTATCAAGATTGCTTATAGGACGGGTTAAAAGATTTTGCGTTATTTTTATCCATTTTTATGAAAATCTATTAGCGATAGGCTATGAAAGGTTAATGTGATAAAGAATAGAAAGGTGTAACTGAAAACTGTAACTTAACAATAAGTTTTTTACCAAGTTCGACAAATTAAAATCTGTAAAAAATATAAATACGCAACTTTGTAAATATAAATATTTTTTTGTTAGTAGGACCCAAAGTGTGTCTAGAAGACAATGTTTCAGTCCCACTTCCTCACAGTCCCGTTTACGTGGCAAAAGTTTGAATGCAGTAGATGTCTACGCAACACGTAGTACGTACATGTGTGATAGTATACAGGGTTGAGTTTATGATAATCAATAAAATAAGGATTTTTGAGGGATAAAAACCCTGATTTAAACTCGACTATGTTCTTATTTTTTCCATTGCTAACGACGACATATCAACATTCCTGCATGGCAGCGTGATCACTAGCACAAAAAGACTTTAATTTTGTCAGACAATATTTTAGTACTGCCAAAAGTTTGGTAACCGCTGTAGGTGCAAATAATTCGAGTTCAACAGTGCAGAGCAAAAAATGGAAATATAATTAAGAGTATTTGAGTAAAACTTTAAAGTTGTTTAGACCGAATTTCACTCATATAATGATTTAATGTATGAATTATTATTCTATATTTGTTGTATTTTTTAATTCCACTTGTTTATGGCAGTTAACTGTATTTTTAAACCATATATAATTAAACTTGAAATGTTTCCTTCTACAAAACAGTTACCAAACATGCACGAAGTTTTAGCAGTATTACACTTATTTGGCGATTTAAAAAAACGCGTTTCTGAAATTGGAAAATTGTCTTGAATAAAGCAAGAAAAAGACGCTTTGAAAATTATGTTGGCTGTAACGTAAACCGGACTACCAAATTGTGTTATTCCGTTTTGTTGTACATAGATTCCTTGAGACTAGTGTGTAGTACAATTATTTTTATATCATTGACCAATCAAAGTTACGCTTTTTTCGTCGGTGTATATAAATTTGCCGTTGTTACTTTTATTGTTATCGATGTGAGCAAAACCGTATACATTTTTGCGCGATCATCCCCTAGTATTAAAATACGTGGTGAAGGATGTATATTTGTGAATATTTTTTAACGAGTTGTTAAAATTATTCGGCGCGAGCCGGTCGATTTCGCGCATGGACGGCGAAAATTAATTAAGTGCCAACAAAGTATTCAGCGTGGTTCCTGATTTAGGAGGGGAATTCGATTGGCTCGGCCTGGGCATAGAATTGTCTAAAATAGTACGTAATTGATCTGATTCCTGGCTGTCTAGTGACGTTTTCCATTTTAAAATCACCACTTAGAGACTGTTCGGAAGAGGTGTTTTGTAAGAATTGTATAAACATTTAAGTAGTTAAGGTACGAAATGATTATCGAGATTTACAATTTTTTTTATACTGGGTTCGTGTTGAATGGGAAGAAAGGACTGGGACAAATCGAGGAGGCGCAAGTCTCGAACTTTTAAGTAAAATTATTTAAGTACATACAATTTTACGTTTCACTATTACATTGTAAATAACATGATATTTTATCTTGGCAAGCACACAACCTATACTATGTAATCAATTAATATTTAAAATAAATAGATTCTACTCAGTGAAAACATTTTTTTCATTTGTACAATTTTCCTTTACACTTCAGACATGGCCTGAGCGTGAGTTTTGTTCAGTTGTACAATGTTTCTTTGGATGTTTTTTTGAACCTATTTATTAACAAAGTATCCCTTTCTGTTAAAAAGCGTGCAGAAAATACGGGAAGTGTAAATAAAAGAACATGTTGTTCCGAGAAATACCCTTCATAGGCACAGCTGCGTTGATGGTTCATTTAAAAAACGCAACCAAGGTAGAACAGTCAATCAACTCCATTATCTCCCAGGAGAATCCTGGAAAATAGCACCATCCCCGACAAACTAGGGGATCAGATTCACAGTACGGCCTGTATGGCGAGAATTAAATGTCTACGTCAATTTCAGAAAAGGCAAGGTGATAAACCTACGTTAACCGCGCCTCTTCGAGACAGGCGTTCTATAACTCCAAGTCATATATGTCATATATGTTCACAAATGTTCCTCTCAAGTAGGTGCAAAGAGACTCATATGGCCTTAACTTGGGGGCTGAATGTGATAGCAGAGTGACAACTTTAAATGTTATAATCTTAATCTAATAAAGTTGTAAGAGCAATTTTGTAGAGTATAGGCAATGGAAATTATATAATTTCAATTTAATGCTTCTTTTAAATAGACAATTAATCATCGCTCACCTAAATAACTTAATTTAACTCAATACAAATCACAGTTTTCAATCGGCTTGAACTTGAGAGCTGGCGCTAAACCGCTTCAGGTTTAGCAATCAAACAGAATGGCCTACCGACATACTTAAATATCCACCGGATGGTCACCGATTACCAACCCCGGATTTGGGCTTGGTGTTGAACTCATCGAACTCAGAGTCTCCTCCTTGACGGCCGTCTCCTCTTTTACTTTTGGCCTATTTGGGTCTTTTTCCTTCTTCTCTTTACCGTGTTTATGCTCGTGTTTATGTTTATGTTTGTGTTTGTGTTTCTTTTTGTCTTTCTTCTTTTTTTTCAGCTGAAACTTAAAAAAATTAAAAGATTTGACAAATAATTATATAATTCACCACCTTTTGGCCGTTCGAATCAGTTTTGTGTCTGCTGGCTTCAGTTTCAGGGTTGAACATGCCTGGTTCAAACCCAACTGGGCCACTCTGACCCATTCCAGGCAAAGAAACTGAATTATCGGAAAAATATTCCTGTTTCGGGACGGTCGCACCTGGTGATGTCACCTGTATTTCCATGTGTTCTTCCTAAAAACAAATTAAAATTGCTTAGATTTGAATTAGCTTGATTTGAAGTGTTCTTGATCCATAAAATTCAGTTTGTATGGTCTTTCGTTTCATAAAATTTATTGCAAAAATTATCTTTAAAGATAAGTAAGATAACCGGCAAAAGTATCGAAAAGGAGATAAGCACTTAGTTTCATTTACTACAAAATAATACTTTCAAATAAATTTTAAATTGCTCTACATATTTCAGATCTTTAATTTCATATTTTCACGGTAATAATGCAATTGCCAAAAAGCCTTTTGGTTCAACTTTGTGTGTGACCGTGACATACTAACTGACACACAACACACCAACATTGCAATTGGCAAACAATTTAATTTTAATGAGAAAAATCTTAAAGTCAACTGCAACAATCTGACAAAATGAACGTTAACATAGTCAATAAGGGTGTTCAATGATAAATAACAGAGACGCCACAGGGCAACAGGTGAGGTCTTTGAGAATGAGTTAAGGGGTACAGCGATGTTTTCAACTAAACACTTTAAGGAAACTTTGGAATTTACTTATCCGCTGTATAATTCGACAGAACTAACCTTAACTTTGTCGTCGACAGCGACTACCTCGACGTTCATACTACATACATCGATATTGTTGTCGATTATGATCCGTGCGGGTTGCGCGGAATCCTTCGAAACAGGACCAGCTTCGCGTTTAACATCGACCGCGTCATGCGATATTTTCGGGATCGCCATTTTAATCTTTTTAGCGTCGGAAGGTTTCGTCAGATTAGCCAAGCCGGAAAGTTCCGGCAACGGTAAACACAACGGACGTTTCGTCCCATAGAGGGCGTAATACAGATCGACCATGTCGCAGCGCAGCCTCGTATCGTGAGACAACATACCACTGAAATGAAGTCGTTTTTCAACAAATACATATACATAGAGTAAATGAGCAACACTATAAACTTGTAACTAACTTACTTTATGTTGGTCCATATTCTTTCCACTAAGTCGGGTACATCTAGCCTGGACCTATGTGCCCTTTTAAAGGGTGCGTTCTTGATCAATACTTGAGCCAGCTGATGGGTTAGACCGGAATCGGCGTCATTCTCCAGTATATCCATAATGTGCTGCAAATCATCGTATTTACCATCGGCTTTAACAAAATCTACCAGGCATTCTAGTGCGGCAAGTCTAACATCTGAAAATTTATTAGCTATTAGCTATAGCTAGCTTATTTTTTCTTATAATGATTACAATGCGCATTACAGCCTAGTATTCAACAACTAGTAAGATTTGGCTTGTTTATTTAGAACACAAGGCCAATATATTGCAGTCAGGTGAGGTGAAAAAATTACAGTAACAATTATTAATTTTGACTGGTAACCATCAATTTTTTTTTCTTTATTATTAATTAATTAACTGACCAAAACTACTTATATTGCTAGTTAACGGTGAGGTGCCAGGCGTCTATAGCAAGGTAACATGGTTAAAGCGGGACAACTCTGAAAGGGGTATCAACAAAAATGTTCATAGAGAATAAAAATATCTTAATATTTTTTTTTATTTTTAACATAAGTACAATTTCTAAATATAAAAAAAAATTATAATATATTATTCGTTGACATATTTTTTAAAATATTGTAAAAATCTTCACAAGAATTTGTCAAATTATATTTGACACATAAAATGCCTTTCAAAGTTTCAACACTTAATTTTGATTTTTCTGATGTCCACACTTGATTTACTGTAGAAAAAAGGGGTTCAATCTCAGCGTTAGTTCCTGGTTAAGATTTTTCACAATTTTTAATACATTATTGTATGGAGCACAGTTTGTTTGCAAATGATGAAATATTTCTATTTTTTTCTACTGCGATTTTTTCTGATGCCCAATATTTAAGCTTTTCCTTATCAATATATCTTTTTAGTAATGACATTTCATTAAAAAGATCATTTTCGGAAATATTACTATCTGCGAAATATAATCAAATAATTTTTGCACATCGTTCCAATTAAGTTATGGTTTTAATGTAACCCAACGAAAATGATCGATATCATTACATTGTACCGTCCAGTCTTTCAAATCATCTTTGCAGTTACTATAAAACTGACATGGTTCATAATATCTCGACGATTTACTTAACCTTGCTCTTCGAGCTGGTTTATACTATTGGGGATTAAATTGGGGAGAAAATTATTTTCTAACCTCTCTTGACATTGACATTGTAAATTATTAACTTCATTTGCTACTTCGATTGCCGACATTTTGTCACCTTCAATAAGTTTTAAAACATTTCGAAAAAGAGAAGTTTGCTTTTGCACAAACTCTATCCTAATTTTTGAAGACTCTCTTTCAAAGAACTTTTCTAAAATTCTAGGACATTCGTCCTGTGATAGAAAGTAGGATTTTCAAAATTTTTTCGATAGCTGGCAGAATAGCTGTTGTTTATAAGGAAATTAGTTTGACTGACTTAAAATATTTGCAAAATTTTATTTGTATATTTCTTTCTGAATTTTTTTAAGGTTAAGGTCGGTGATATACTTTTGGTCATGAATATAAAATATTTGTATTTATGTATTTATGAAATATATTGAAAGTGTATCTACCATCCAAGAAACAAATACAATGTAACTGGGCCGCAAAAGCAATATGTTAGTCGTCTACCACCTAAGATTCTTAGAACGCAAAACAATGATTATCATAAATATAAAATTTAAATTAATTCTAAAAGCGGGGCGTCTGGTCACCTTAGTCTATAGCAGTCCTGTTTAGTTTGATTAAGTTATGGATACAAACAAATTCTCACGCTTACTCTTACCTATAAAGTTTCCATACTGAGCGTAACTTTTGAACAAAGTTGATCTGCTAGGTAAATGTCCGAATTTTTGCAACTTCCGTATGGCTTTCAAGCACGCTACTGACACGGTGTACTTATAACATGGCAACGCCTTCTCCAAATTCAGTAACCTCGTTATCTCCTCTAGGATCAGTTTGGTGTCGGTACTAAGACTTTCCGGTGTAATCGGAGCACCTTGGGCGACTACCGACACAACAGGAGTCACCGTGTTGCCTAAAAAAAAAATTAATCAAGTAACCCAAACGTTTCCGGCTTGACGAAGACACCAACCTAAGGCTTCGACTAGAGAAGCACGATAGTAATTGTCCGAATGCCTATTCTTTGAGTTGTCGTTATATTTGAACAAATCCAGCAAAAACCGAATCACCTCTGGAGGACAGATCCCGTGGGCATTCCGTAAACCCGCCATTGCCAAGGGAATCGTCTTTTGCAGAAAATAATGTTGAAAGTTTTGAAAATTGTTCTGCCTGATGATATGGGGTGCGGCAAATGAACCGAACAACTTCCGGAAAATTGCCAACATCGCTGGTGGACCTGCCCAATTCGCGACCATCGCGTTGGCGACCCTGGTCAGGCAATGTGCTGCACGACATCTCACTTTGTAAAAAGTCTGTTCATTTTCGATGGTATCAGTGAGCGCTAGTCGAGTGGGCGGGGTCGGATATCGTTCTAAGGCCACGATGGCTTCCAACTGGGCCGTAACGTCTCTTTCGTGCCTCAACTGGTACTGCCACTGGTAATCGGGTTGTTCTATTACTACCGATCTGAGGAGAGTCATTTCAGGGTCTAACCTGATCCATAACACCGGCGAATCGCTAAAAATAAGATTTCTATTTTGGACTATTTTCTTAGATGCAAAAAGACAAAAAAAGGAAGAGAGCCAACCAAATGACACTCAAAATTAATACTATTAAGCATTCCTTACTCCATGGCGCTCAAATCCATATCAACTTCTTCGCCGGTGCATAGTGGAATCTTTTTCTTCTTGTTCCTTCGACTTTTGGAGTGACAAGTGATATCGGCTTTGACCACTGTATTTTCAATTTGCAAGTTATGTTTAAAAGTGCCGTCCAGTTCTTGGAGGGTTACCAGCAATGGCCCTACATATTTTCTTATTCCCAGCTGAGTGGTGGCGTCTTGTCTAATTTCCAACTCAATGGTGTTTCTACAAAAGGAAAGAAATGTAAAATTTGTTTGTTGCACTTTATAACCTACCTTTTCCTATTGAAGACCGATGTTAGGTGGAACTTGGCGTGACCTCCCGTGCGGACCCACTGATCAATGAAGACGGCCATATCTTTGCCGGTCACAGTAAAAATAGCTTTTGTGAAAACATTGGTACTAATAAGCATATGACCCCAGAGTCCGCTACCGATTTTCTGTTGGGCTGCGTTAGTGGCCAAAGAGAGCTGCTTATTAAACACCTATATAAAAGAACAAATTACATTCCATACACATCCATGCAATAATAATGCAAATGTACTTGTAGCAGTAACTCTTGACCAATTCTGTGTTCCAACATCCTCATAACCAGCATGGCTTTCTTGTGTAGGGCTTCAATGTACATTGGTGACATAGTGTGAAGGTTTCTGATAGAGAAATAAAATTTTTCTTCATTCGACTTTTGAGTTGACTGGGGAGTATTTGCACCCACAGGAAGCGGAGCAGGAGGTTGACTAGGGTCTATAAAAATTGATATTGTATTATATTTTTTATACATATAGAGAAGAAATCTTAAATTACCTAGAATAATGCCACCAAATTCTTCTTCATACTTAACGACGTCTTGAAGCATACTGTGTATCATTTCCCTGTATTCATTGTTACCAAAACCTTTCTTGCAATACAGTCCGCACAAGTACTGACTTATCCCTAGGTACATAAGGAAAATTTTGTCTAATAATATCAAATAATATCTTTTGGTACTACGAAATAGTACAAAAAAAGAACTTTTCAAAGGGGGAAGGGATAGTGGTGGCTTAAAATAAAAATAATTACAAAAACCCAAAAACATATCACCCTACCTTTATTCAACCACATATCTGACCAATTTTGCATTGATATGAAACACCCAAAAAATTGCTCAGCTATTGCCTCCGCCATCACTTTCCGAGTAATGTAAACTTGATCAATAATGACAGCTGAATGCAGCAAATTAACACTCAAAATACTCATGGTAGAGTAAGACTGATAATCTTCATAAGTTTCATCAACAAATACTTGTTTATAACAAGAGTAGGGGTATCTATTTGACAGAGTCTCCTCATAAAATTCAAAAGCTTCATGCATATACCTAAAAAGAACTCATTGCATGTCTGAAATTTCAAAATCAACACTAGATTTTACCTGGTTGTAACTTTCAATAGAGGCAAGAGTCCAGGCAAGCAAAAATGGGTCACTTCATGCATGTAAGGATCAACATAAATCTCAAAAGGCCCTACAGCTAATGAAATATTTGGTGCACAAGTTGGTATATTTAAAGAATAGTGATATGTCTTTCGTCTCATATCGGGAGTGTATACGACTTCGACAAGATCACCATTAGAGACAGCTACCATTTCATCATCAACTGTGAACTCTAGCTTCCAAGTACATGGCTCTGCAAAACTGTCAACACAAGGAAACCATAACCGTGAGGAATTTTGATGACCATAAGTAAACATATGAACTCCTCTCTAGAAAAGATATTGATGCATCTAATGAAATTAACTGCACACAAAAAGTACCTCTGCATAAGTTCCTTCTTTGCTGGGTACCACAAAATGTATTCCACCTTGAGGTTGTTCCAGAGAAAATTCAATGCCAACTCTTAAAGCAGTACCTTCAGCTACCAAATGTGAGGCTTCAGGTGGAATTGTAAGTACTAATTCACCAGCAGCATGGTCAGGATCCACTTTTTGAGCAGCTGTTAAATGGTGCTGGGAAAAAACGTCCAAACTTCTTCTAAAAAAATTACAATTTTGACTTGTCAAACCAGATCACACCCTCTTACGTTACAGTGTCAGATTGACATACGTCGAGAAATGGATCAAAATACTGAAAATGGGCTTCATATTGCTCGTTCAGAATTACTCGATAGATACGGCATTGTTTGGCATTAAGTTTTATAACTCTGAGGTTATCACGCAGTGGAACAACAGTAAGCTCAACAAATCCCTTAAATAGTTGATAGGCAAGTTTTTTATATTTTGTAACCTACCATTGAATACTTACTATAATGCTTTTTCTTTCAAAGCTAATGCCAGTCAAGCTTACAATTTGATGAGCTGAAATATCAGTTGTAACTTAACATGAGAACAAAAAATGAATTGTTAGGAATATTTTACCTAATTTATATGGCCGGATAGTATCTCCTGTCTTTTCTTGCTTCATTTTTGAGTTTATAACCTGCCAGTATACTCTCAACTTTTATATCGAAGTCACATGAGGGTTAAAATTCACTTGCATTAAGAAAACATTTATTAATCATAACTATAAATGAAAAGGTAAACAAGCCTTAAACCCAGTGTCAAAATATAAGGTTAGTTTCACAGAAACATTAATTTTGGTCAGTTTACTGTCAAATTTTTAATTGGATAAAGGATAATAATTTTGTATGAAATAGATCTTACGAAAAGACAATACATAAAGGTATAAACATAAATACATTGGGGTAAACGCTTCAAATATCCAATTCAACTATAGAGGGACTTTCAAAGTGCGAAAAGCTTATGGCGGTGTATCCTTGTTTAAAATAAAGTATATAAACGTTGGGTCAAGTGCGAACGTTATAAATAAGTCCGAAAAATGTTTTTATTTTTTATCTGAAAAACGACAATAGATAGAAGATACGGAAGACACAGAATAATACAGAAGTATTACTATTATAAAAACACACTTTCTAAACGTCTCTTTATTTTTTTAACATGAATGGAAGGAATTGAATTAGACTACCCCTAGCATCCTTCTTAATTAAATATGAGAAAAAACTTATGCAATAAAATACAATTTTTTAAATTTTATTTTATTTAGAAACTTTTGCTTTCTACCAAGTTTTTCCTAATACAGACAGTTTCCAAAAAAAAAAAATTAAAGCTATTCAAATCAAACCTAAATTATTTTTCAAAAATATTTTTTTTCGACATGAAATGCTTTACATTAAAAAAAGTACTTCACTAATATTTTATTGTTTTGTTATAGTTTTTAAGATAAATAAACCATAGTTTTTCGTCATATTTGTAGGGCAATATTTCCCTAATATTTGGCTTTTGATGCAACGTTTATATAACAAACTACACTTTTTTTTCAATAAGACATCACCAGAAGCTTTTCACATGACATCTGTTGGACCGTTCTAATACTACGTAATTCAAGCCCATGAAAAATGTTACTTTATTCTTTGTTGTTGCTACTGACCGCTCGATGGCGACACAACCGCCTTCCCTCCAATTAAATGAGTTCCGTTCAGATCAGACAGACAGTGGCATATGCCTAAAATGTGTGGTTGCCGACAAACAAGATGTTAAAATTTGTTTTTTAAAACACTTTTACCCATTTTGTTGTTATTTTGGTAAGATTAAGGAATTGGGAACAGCAACTTTAGATTACTTGACTTTACCTTGTATCACCCTTGCTTTTATGGAAAAAAATTCAATCAACTCTTCTTCTTAAAATTGTTGATTTAAAATAAATAAGAACTAAAAGTTCAGATTTTCACGAAATTATATATTTTTACATGACAATTGTTTCGACAACACCATGTCTTTATCAAATGTGTTGAATTATGTAACTCCTTGTATTGAAATTGAGTGGTGTTACAGGTAAAGTAATAAAAAACTTTGAAGTCGTATATTATTGAAATTAACCTCATTTCTTTTATCCTTATTTCACACTGCTCTAGTACTGAAGTTAATTATTCTGTACAGTTTAAGTTTTAACCAGAATACGTTTGATTTTATTCTTGCAATTTAATGGGTTCAAAAACTGTTATGCAAATAAATGTTGAAAGAATAAAGTTATTAAACTAATTTTTCGAAAGATAATTTTATTTTTTTACTTTATCTAATTTATTATCATTTATAAATCTACTCAATACACTTTTTTATAGATCTAAGAAATCTTATTCATTTTTACTTAACGAAAAATATTTACATGATATATTTATATTTTATATTTATACAAAAACTACAACATGTCCACATTTATCGTGAAAAAAACATATAACAATATCGCAAAATATATTTTTTTAATTTTAGAGAAAATCTGGAAAAAATTATAAAAACCGGTGTAACTCACAAATAACAAAGATTCAGAGATGTAGGAATAGCATTGTGGAATTGACGTCAATTTTTTCTGTGCCCTAATCGCTAAGTATAGTATTCGGGTATTCCTTGCAAATTGGACATTTAACATCGCATAATTATTTATTATAAAATACGTATTATTATTATTATAAAATGATAGAGTGTTTGCGACTAATATCTGGAACGACAAAATGTTTGTTTAACCTTCAATGTTTTAAGTGTTAATCCAGTTTGGTTCTAAAGAAACGAGCATTTGAAACGTAGTTTTTCTTTTACCGGATCATAGTGCTCACGCATTTTCCGATTTTATTATTAATCCGATAGTTCCAATGTTTTTAGAACATTATTTGATTTTTAAAAGTTACTTTCCATTGTTCCGATCACTGCCAATTTCAAATAGATCAATCAAATTTGGGTTGCACTCGGGGTTTTGTTAAATCACAGGTCCGTAGTTGTAAATTTTGGAGACTTGTAGTGTTTCCCAGAGAAAATTATTTTCAGCCCTGTAACTGAAACTGAAATGGTAGAACGATTGCTAAAGCAAATTTCTTTGGGTAGACCGCATACTAATCCAAATAAATTAGATAGATAGATAGCACTCTACACTCTGACCCAAATTTCGTGAATGACTAGAATTATTTGTAAATTGTCCGTTGGAATTATTTAACCAGTATTATCCCTATTATAACTGATTCAGTACAGCAGAGCAGTTGATGGTAAACTGAGTAGCCTCAACGACTCCTGGCTTGCTATTCTTGAACTTTAGGGAATAGAAATGTTTTCGGCAAATAGCAAAAAGTAGGAATATTTGTCTAAAATGTTAAAATGCCGTTCTCTGTTGTTTTTTTTTGATAAAATTGGAGAAAAAGGCTTTTTTTTTCTTTTATCTAGCCAAGAATCGCAATAATAATAGGGGGCCTTAACCACTAGCGTGATAAGCCGATTTTGTAAAGGTCCTAAAGCGGATTGAGATTGGGAGAGATACGCGTATTCAAAAGGATCCCTTTCTGATTCCTAACAGAAAATTTATTCAGCTATTTATACTAACAAAAACTCTTGTTCAACGACTTGTGGGTGTGGCCACAAATATTTGAGGCTTTTCTGTTATTTACGAAACCGTCAGATCTTGTTGTGCCGTGCTAAATACTTTTTATGAGAGTTGAGAGTCAATTGAACATGTCCTATAATAAAATATAATTTACTACTGTTCTCCGTTGTAATGTTTTGGTAAGTTGGCTATCAAAGTTCATACTGTCGAGAAATTCCGTTCCATTTCTTTTCCACGATTTCAAGAATACGAGTTTTTGGTTAAATAATTATCACTGACGTATTCCTTTTGTAGGTTCAAATGGGATTATTCACAATTTTCCATACAGTTGATGTTGGACTTTTCGTCAATGTGGTCTTTTCTTCTAAAGATGCTTGCTTGCTGGCACCACGTTCAATGAGAGTCAAATAAACATTGTTTATAACTTCCTTAGTCGCAATAGAATAGTGTTTTCTACATTTGGGCGGGAGCATCTCCTGAGATACACTAGACTCGCACATATTTTGCATAATTCGCACACGATTCAACACACGCTGTATTACACACGAAGTAAGAATGATTACTTAAACTAAGTAGTATACCAAACCAAAGAATATTAAACACAGGTAGGTATAAAATTATTTTCTATTACGGACGACAATTTTACCTGAATTTAAATTCCGAAACTTTAGGTAATAATCTTGTTGCATTGTATGTTAATGACCACCCTTGGATAATCCCATTCAAAAGCAATTGGTCACTTTCTTATATCTATGAACAGACCATACCTTGACAAACGACCTATTTTTTATCAAATTTTGAAAAATCCTCTTTATCATGTTCAGCTTATCTTGCTTATATCTATATCTTATATCTATGAACAGAGAAATTTTTATGGAATAAGAATTTTAAAATCTTGCTGAGCAGTACTATTTTTCCTTTTTTCAAGAATAGCTAAATAGAGGACAGACAGCTGTAATTTCATTCACGTTTCCATAGTAAATTCTTCAGACCAAACGGCAACCGAAAACACGCTAAAAGAGCGAGTAAACAAAAAAGTTGTGTTAAATTGGAATATATAAAAAGCACGTACGGATATTTGCTTACCGGTAAAATTGAATGATGAAGCACCCCTGAGAAAAATAAAGAAAAACCCGTAAATCCCTCAACACTCTACAATCAATCATTTCGGAAGCACTCGTAGACTGAGTCAGGCAAAAATTATTTTCGGCTTTGGTTAAACTGGACAGGGGTTGAATTATATTGAAAAGCGAGAGTGTTGGAGGGTTCTCGTTTGAAACTCGTCGCGTGAAGGGTCGTTTACCCATGCACGCGCCTAACACAAATCTACCTGTACAATTGTTACCTGTAAGAGGTTTTAGGGCTCATTTTACAGTTCAGAAAGGATATAATAAGAATATTGTGGCTAAACACTGTGTTTATAACGTAGTGAGTTCGCTAAAAACATTTCAAATTCGAGGACAAGTGTCATTTACATGCGCAGTAACCGGTAGACAAATGAATAGTTTATATTGTTTTAGTTAGTCAAAAGTTTCAAGTGTGAAATGATTAGGCACTTTTCACAAAACTTTTACATATTTCTGTGTGCTATAACTATATTTTTTAAATCTGCTCCAAAAATAAAATTTCGCGACTTACTATTCCACTAGAAAAGCAAAGTTTATATGTATTATATTCTGACAGTGTGTGCCCGAAAAATGGAATAATTATATGAAAGTTTGTTGGTTCTATCGTTTGCTTGTTAATTATCAAATCGATTCTCCAACCACAGTTCAAAGAATAAATTTCCTAGTTCCAGGAATTTACTCAAGACACTATGTCACTTTTGATTCATATACTAATATCGGCAAGCTGAAGGCTTAATGACATTTGCCATATATACCTATAACGAATGCAGAGATCAATGTGACATTTCCAGCTGCAATTTATCCACTATAAAGATTTACGTTATGATTTGTTATTATATTACTATTATGAACATTTTTTAGTTTTTTAAATTTTATTTCTTTTGCATTATGTTTTTTATGTATCTTCGCTGTAATATTTTTAATTACCCTCTAAAATGACTAAGTAACCGGTCTTAAACTACTATTAAAATCAGCAATTATATTAAATTCATGGTTTATATAAATATAAGAAATTAAGTACTTTTGTAGGTATGGTCTGTTCATAGATATAAGAAAGACCAAGGATGGTCATTATTATACAATGCAACAAGATTATTAAATAAAGTTTCGGAATTTAAATTCAGGTAAAATTGTGGTCCGTAATAGAAAATAATTTTACCTACCTGTGTTTTAATATTCTTTGGTTTGGTATACTACTTAGTTTAAGTTTATTAGTTTAGTAATCATTCTTATTTCGTGTGTAATACAGCGTGTGTTGTATCTTGTGCGAATTATGCAAAATATGTGCGAGTCTAATTATCTCAGGAGATGCTCAAACCCAAATGTAGAAAACACTATTCTATTGAGACTAAGGAAGTTATGAACAATGTTTATTTGACTCTCATGGAACGTGGTGCCAGCAAGCAAGCATCTTTAGCCACATTGACGAAAATTCCAACATCAACTGTATGGAAAATTGTGAATAATCCCATTTCAGCGAGGAAAAAAAGAAGCGATGCTGACATTTTATCGAATGTAGATGAAAGTGAACAAGATATAATACGGCCAAAAATTTACCAGTTATACGAGGAACAAAGCGTGCTTACATTAGATATCTTAATTAAGAGGCTTGAAAAAGATGAAACCGGTGTTAAATGTGGCAGAACTACCTTATGGAAGTGGGTTTTAGATTGGCAAAAGGCAAGTTTTAATGGAATCTTTTAGAATTCGGAAATGGACACTGGAATATCTAGAAAAAAATGGATTTACAGAGAACAACAAAGGCCAATTATTTACTTAGATGAAACCTGGTTCGACACTTATGATACCCCGGAAAAGGGCTGGGTTGACTCAACTGATAAGTGTAAAACATCAAAAAGAGGTAAAAGAATAACTATTTGCTGGCTCTAAAGATGGTTGGATTCCAAATGGACTTTTTCTGTCTGCAAAAAATATTAAAGATTCTTCTCGGGATTACCACGAAGACACCACCTCTGATTTATTTGAAAGTTGGTTTAAAAACAAACTAGTTCCATACATTCCTCCTAATAGCGTAATTGTAATGGAAAATGCAAGTTATCACAGTAGACAGTTGACTAAATCCCGTTCTTCATGTGACACAAAAGCAACAATCCAAAACTACATGTATAATAACTACATTTATTTTCACGAAGATTACACCAAAAAGCAATTAATTGAAGTTCTACAAAGCTTGAACCTACAAAAGGAATACGTCTGTGATAATTATGCAAAAAATCTAGGGCATACAGTTTTAAGGCTTCCACCTTACCACTGTATATTTAATCCCATTGAACATGTTTGGCACCAACTGAAATCTGCCATTCGTCGTAAAAATATTTTTCCTCGTGGTAACTCCAATGTCGTCCAACTTCTAAGCAAAGTACGGATCTGTTCGGCCATATTTCATTCTTACAGTTTGCTGTATAAGATTGACCCCCAGTCATTTACCCTAAAGATCAAACCACAGATTAAATTATCCATATACTACAGAATTGATAAAAACCATTGGGCTGGCATCAGAGAAAGTTTAGTAAAGTAATATAAAAAACACCTGTAACGAAATAATAAGTGTGATGTTGCAACTTTATCGAATTTAATTATTCAAAATATTTTTGATGAATTTTTGCAAATATTTCTATTATTTTAAGTTCGTTTCAATTTTAACACATCTCTTTTTGCTTGAATAATAATTAATTAATTAGTTTAATTATTTTTATTTAATTAATTATTGGTTTGATTTTGAATTATGTTGGGTGCATGTTTGGCACGCAGTTTAATATATTCTGTGGATTGGTAAAAATCTAACATTCAATTCAAGTTTTGCGTTATATGCGACTTTTATGGATTTCTAAATTAATTAATTATTAACCGACCTAATTGAACGATTACCGTGAGGAACATAGATACGCATAACTTTTTATCTTTTTTTCATTCAATTAATACCATTTTTTAATATATACTTAATATTTTGTTTTACAGAGAAATTAACAAAATATTAAATAACCCAAAAACGAAAACATATTTTAAAATGTTGCTTAAATAAGTTGTAAGACTTTCCTTGAACCACGGAAAGTTTTCAACTTATGGCAAAAATTAATATTATTGGCATTTTCTTAACTACGAGACAAAAAAATGTTGCTTTTGAAACAATTATGAAAAATAAAACAGTGGCGCACATATTTGTCGTCAAGACACAATATTTGAGCTTTTGAACTATATACAGACGGAGCCCATGTTCGTCTAAGAGTTATTAGATATATAGAGGTTTCGACTAATACTGATAATACAGGTACTTTTGAAGTCAATATAAAAAAATATTGAGGACATTTGATATGGACATGCACAAGTCATTTCAAAACTCCCTTTGAAGCAATAAGCCAAAATTTTACGGTATTTACAGCTCTATGACCAATTTCAAATTTTTCTCTTTTTCCCGCCTTTTTTCGGCGGACAGCGAAGTGAAAGAATATTGCCGTCTCTTTGAACCACTCTAGCTTAACATTTCAGCCGTCACGAAGCAGGTAACGCACACCTAAGTTCGCGCGTGCATCCCGTAATCGTCGGACCGCGACATGAGCCTTGGGGCACGCACTCCTTCGTTTAAATTTAATTTCGCTCCAAATCCTGATTAAACGGCTCCTTCGCGTCTTTCTCGATCTACCGGCGTCCCTACCACAGACCCATTAAGTTTCGTATGTTCGCGAGGGCCCTCTGCTAGCAGAAGAAAACAGAGGAGGGGGCGTACGTACCCAGCCGGCCAACCATGATCAACATGGTGGAACATTCAGTCGGTTGTGCTCGGTTGGCGGCGGTTCGATGTCGACCGGTAACGTCGGGTTCTTGACCACTTTCTAACCTACGAGTTTGTTTACGTTCGTTGTTGGTAATCGGTAGAAACTTTTGCGGCGTTTCCGGGTTAAATTAAGATGATTTTTGATGTCGAAAGAGGGTGAGACGGTGGTCTATTCGATAGACCACTCCAAAATGAACCTGAAACATAGGAAAGTGTTGCAGACGTTGTCTTGTGCCGTATTGTTGGCGTATACGAGTCTTCTTGTTTACCAAAGTTTTTCGAGGAGCGGTCGCGGCCTCAGTCAAGTAAGTGTATCGACGCCTTTTAAAACTTGTCTTAAGTTGGTAGCTACTACCGGGCATAATCGACCCAGCTCTGCTGAATTGTACCAATTCGCATCACAGGGAAAAATAGTAAAGTCTGTTCATAGATATAACAAAGTGACTAACTGATAGGAATTAAGGAAAGACTCGGGCAAGCTGTAAGAATGAAATATGGCCGAACAGGTCCGTACTTTGCTTAGAATTTAATTATTTGGGGTTTTGTTAGGAAATATACTAAACAATATTTATTTATTTATGTTTAAATCTAAAATAAAATTACAAATTATTTTATTATCTACTTAAATTACTTAAAATTATTCACATAATATATCAGTATCACTATCGCCTGTTCTAATTATTATTTGTTCTATATTATTTGCAATATGGATATACGATTGTTCTGCTTTTTCTATAATTTTAACAGAGTTTGTACAACTGTGTAAATCCTAATTTTTTCTAGATATTCCATTCGCCATTTCCGAATTCTAAAAGATTCAATTAAAACTTGCTTTTTGTCAATTTTTTAAAATCTAAAACCCATGTCTTGAATACACTTCCATAAGGTAGTTCTGCCACATTTAACACCGGTTTCATCTTTTTCAAGCCTCCTAATTAAGATATCTAATGTAGGCACGCTTTGTTCCTCGTATAACTGGTAAATTTTACACCGTACTATATCTTGATCACTTTCGTCTACACTAGAGAAAATGTCAGCATCGCTTCTTTTTTTCCTCGCTGAAATGGGATTATTCACAATTTTCCATACAGTTGATGTTGGAATTTTCGTCAATGTGGCCGTTTCTTCTAAAGATGCTTGCTTGCTGGCACCACGTTCAATGAAAGTTAAATAAACATTGTCTATAACTTCCTTAGTCTCATTAGAATAGTGTTTTCTACATTTGGGCGGGAGCATCTCCTCAGATACACTAGACTCGCACATATTTTGCATAATTCGCACACGATTCAACGCACGCGGTATTACACACGAAATAAGAATGATTACTAATAAACTTAAACTAAGTAGTATACTAAACCAAATAATATTTATTAAACACAGGTAATTATAAAATTATTTTCTATTACGGACCACAATTTTACCTGAATTTAAATTCCGAAATTTTAGGTAATAATCTTGTTGCATTGTATGTCAATGACCACCCTTGGATAATCCCATCCAAAAGCAATTGGTCACTTTCTTATATCTATGAACAGACCATACCTTGACAAACGACCTATTTTTTATCAAATTTTGAAAAATCCTCTTTATCATGTTCAGCTTATCTTGCTTATATCTATATCTTATATCTATAAACAGAGAAATTTTTATGGAATAAGAATTTTAAAATCTTGCTGAGCAGTACTATTTTTCCTTTTTTCAAGAATAGCTAAATAGAGGACAGACAGCTAAATACTAAATATTTTCCAAAATATTAAAAATATTACAAAAGGAGCAACAAAGGACATTCGTTGAAACGGATAAATGAAGCATTTAATTTATTGACACAGAGGTCGTTAGAAAGAATTTGGAGTCAAAGGTTAACTCACTCCCGTTTTTTTTTATATTTCAAAAAGGTATCTCAAAATACCCCAGGGATTAATAATAATATGCATTTTAAAAATTTTGATTCCCTGTATATTAAACAGAAAGCGTTCCAGCGGAAAGTGACTTAAAGAAAGTCTCATTATTTTAACCAAAAAATACAGGGTATTTCAAAAAACATGCCCGATTTTGTTGAAATTTGTCACCATCATTTATGATTGTTGATTCCAGTGTTGTCCCGGCAAATGTAGTTTCTTTGAGTTATTTACGTTTCTTGCCTCGGTTTCGAATGAAATCATGAAAATCATGAAAATTTACCAAAACTTAGTTTTATGAATTTTTTTTTCTGGACTCTTTGATTCACAATTATCTTAGTTCTAAAATAATAATACTAAAGAATATAAAAAAATGACCACCATGGTATTAATTGTAATGACCTATGACCTAATGATTTTAGCAAAAGCCTTTTTTAAAATTTTCATCCGATTTTATTTCTACCTATTTTTGTAGTACATTTTTTTGTTGATTGTACAATTTTTGTTTTATTTTTTTGCTTTATATGTTTTATAACTTTAAACTTAACACATGTTAAGGTATAAAGGCGTAACAGTTTTTTTTTATACTTCACATAATACTTCCAATTTCTTGTGGTAAAAATTAGTACGAATTGATTAGGTCCCATTTTAATTTCATTTTTGGTACAATTTTTTTGTTTTCTGTAATTAAGTTCAAAGTTGCATCACTGAAACACTGTCTTATCACATACAAAGAAATTCAGCTCTTTTCATCACGATTTTTTTTATTTTGTTTTTTGTTGTGATTTTATTGCATGTTTAGTCTCTATACGACACATGGTAGGATTTTTTTGGTTATTTTTGGTAAGATACAAAAATAATGAACCGAACGGTTTGAACGGATTTTTTTCAGTTGTTGCTACCGGCTTAACAAGTGTCCTTTTAACTTTATTCTTCCCAGGCAGTGAAAGTATTAATTTGTGCATTTGTGGTTACCTAAAGAATTTGGCATTTCGAGTTCCATTTATATCTTCGAAGCTCAGCTTTAGCAGTTTGCTTATCGAAACAGATCGAAGTCTTCGGTGTTCAAAACAGATTGCTCGATTAAAATGGCCGGTTTTTTTTGCGCCGGCGACAATGTCGCTTTGTGAGGTTTCATAAAAATGGACGTTGTGCATGAGCGGGTTTTCGTGAAAGGCGTCATGCCAACTTGCGGTCACGTGTATAAGTAAAAGCCCATTGCGACAGACTTCTGTAGCTTCAGTGGATTATTCCGATATTTATTCTGCATCGTTTTTTGTTATTAACTTTGCCCAACAGATGGATCGAATTTTTCGTTAAAAATGTTATTAAGTAGTAATCAGTGTCAAAATCAATGGATTGGAATTTAAACAGCTGAAGAAATCGTTCGTGCTGAAAGAGATTGGAATGGTTATTTATATTGTAGAATTCAAAATACTACTTTGATACTTCTAGCAATTTTGGGACAACCTGTATAATACTTTTTAGAAAACTTCTGGATTGCTCCTGCGTCGGTTTATGCTTAGTCGAAATTGTTAACAGTTTTTTAGTCAGGCTCTGAAGAAGCCAACAGGATGATTCTCGAATTTGCTAACAGTTTCAGTCAGGCTCTGAAGAAGCCAACAGGATGATTGTGGAAACCTTAGCAAGTTCGATCAGCAAAAACCGACGCAGGAGGAATCCAGAAGTTTTGCAAAAAGTATTATACAAGTTGTCCCAAAAGTGCTAGAAGTATCAAAGTAGTAGTAGTAGTAGTTTTGTAAAAAGTATTACAGTAACTTGCGGAAGTTTCTTTGAAAAGTTAACCTGTATAATATGCAAGTAATTTTTAAATGCATATTAGATTCCCACTGATCCCAATTGCTTATAATCATCGCAATTGAGACCGTATATTCGAAAAAGTATTGATGCACGGAGTTCCTGTTCCTCATTCTTTCTGTTCTTCATGTTACTGAGAAGTTAGATCGCTCAAAAATGTTTACTAATTTCAAGAAGCGACTATTAGCGATTTAGAGCAATCTGTGTCCTTCCCTTCGAAGAGTCAATCAGTCAATAATGAGTAGAAGAAAGAACAAAAAGCAAAGAAGAATTTGAAGAGAATTGCAATTGTCGTTTGAAGGAAGTGTCTTAAGAAATGTAGCTTTTTATCCAACTCTCTTTCCAAAATAATTCACGCGGTAATTCATGTTTTAACATTTAAAGAGTTGATGAGCTCCTAAACATCTTGTAAATTTCATTGTATTGATTGCGAATGGAATAAATTTTTTTTTAACCCAAATCCAAGTTTTTATCGCTTTATCATGAGAAATATAAATCTTCTTTAGTTTGCTTTACGTGCTCTTTTTAATTTCCTTGGATTTTGAATATTTCCTAATTGGTAATTAGTTTAACAACTTAAATCTATAAATATCCAACTCGTATACAATATCATTAATAACGAAATTTATTAGAGTAGGTTGGTTGCTCGTTATATTAATAATCTGGTCATGCAAGGAAAGTTGCTTTATGGCCTCACACTTTTGAATTTTTCAGCCAAAGTCGTTGTGGACCAGTCCGCCTGCTCGGGTGTGTAAACATCGAATTGTGTTTTAAAACAGCGATATACTAAGTAACTGTAAAAAATTCCCAACGCGTTACAAAATCGACGAAGCTGTAGGTAGATACACAAGTGCTAACTCGGTATGCAACTCCGAGACAAGACATTTTCCGAAACACACGCTTCGAATACAAACTAGCTCGCATCATAGTCTTACGTGCCTATTTTACCGAAATAATCGAGCGACTGCGTACAAGGAAATTATTTCGATATTAATGAAGACTTGGAAAATGTAAACTCTAGTACGTCTAAACGATATTCAATAACATTTACCTTAGACAGCCAAATATAGGCTATATAATAAAACAAATACTACGAGAGCTCAAATTTGAAGTTTGGGGTTTCATCCCCTACGTCACAAAGGCGGGGATCATTTTAGATCACACGGTTTAGACAGGTGAGAAAAAAACATATATTAGGTGACGCGAAAAAAAAAAATATTATTAGATGTTACAAAGATTTTAAAAAAGTAGTTTAGAATATCTACTTGAGAGAAACATTTTTTAAATAAGATTAAAAAAAATCAAAATAATATGAAGAAAAGCTACGTCTACGTCTACGTCCAACATCGTAGATGGAAGGACCTCTGAAGAAGCTCGCCACTCGTGCTAGCGAAACGTTAGGAAGTAATTCCAATCGACGACGGCCTTTAAACCCGAATGAAGATAATAGCTTATCAACGGGCCGCGAAAGCCTTAACCAATTTATCAATATGAAGAAAGCTTCAGCTGTAAAAAGAAATGTTATCGCATCTCCATTTTGCAAATCAAGTATAGAAACGGAGGCAAATTTCTATAAGGATAAAAAAAAAACACGAAAAGACACGAAAAGTGATATAGATTTATTTCCAAATAATTGTGAATTAAATAGGTTCCCTTTTTAAACATTCACTTATTTAACTTTTCTTGAAAACGAAGAAATGTCATTCTTATTAATAAAATTTGTGCCTTCTTAGTGTGGTAAATAAAAACAAATACTGCAATGTCGGAATAACAATATTATTACATTTAAATATATTTATCTCTTTGGGTTTAAGATATTAATAAGTAAAACCTGTTTTTCGTTTCATTTCAATTCAAAATGGAAAGTTTATCAAGTTTTAGAAAAACAAAAATTTCGTTTTATACTTTTGATACATGGACCTTAGTAATGAAGTTGAAATAAGAGAAAAAAGTTTCATCTGATTGAAATTGACTAAAAAGTTTTACTTGACACTACACTACTAGTCTGGAGCGACCAGCTGTGGTTTATAGTGTTATCAGATTAACAATTTGTTGGTATCTTTAGGTTACATAAACTTTTGAATAATTTTTAATTCAGGAGTAACACTACACATATGGCCAATCCCCTTAGGGATAATATGGATTCTTACCCAGAAATTTTTGTGGAACTTGCACCTGCTAGCTTGTACCTGCAAGTACCTTGTCCCAAAAACCAACTTGTAACTTGATATTATTGCACAATATTTTTAAAGAGGTTTTATATTTTATTTTATATTTATTTATTAAAGACGAATTTCAGGTAATCTAATAATTGGTCAATGATGCTGATTAACTTTCATTTTATATTAATTTTCTATATTTTAATAGTTTAAAATCGAATTGTGTTCGCAGTAGCTACAAAAAAGAAGTTTCTTCTTTTAATGTGACTTATTGTGTCTAGTTCACTTGGTTTTCCAGAATTCGACAAAGTTTGCCGATATTTCTAAAATGACGGTATCTATTCTAATGTGGTGTCAGAAGCAAATCGTGTTATATTCCTTGTCAGATAGACATTACGGTTTTTGTTTACTCGCGCAGTTTATGGCGGTGTTATAAGCACATGCGGCGTCGTAAACTATTGTTTACTCAACATTGTAAATACATGTACATATTTTATCATGTATAGCCTCGTATCTTGGAAGACGCAAGTTTGGCACCAGTCAGCCATGTTTAGTTCAACGCTCGAGTAACCTCTGTTTTAATTTGTTTTTGTCTGCGGGATAACCGTGTTATTTTTATACATTTATAATTATTTTTCAGATTTCTAAAAAAGACAACCAAATCCTGAAAAAGTACAACTACGAAAGAAACTTGGCGCAAGAGCAGTCGCTCAACGAATTAGAAGGGAGCTATTCGTCCACTGAAATCTCCTCCGCCACTGCGACGGCAAAACCACCGACTACGACGCTGGATGACGTTTTTATCAGCGTAAAAACAACCCGTAATTATCACGGCAGTCGGTTGCCCATTATTTTGAAGACCTGGTTCCAGCTGGCCAAGAAACAGGTAAAAAAAATGCGGATTTCTCTGATTTTGAGGGAAGTTAAGGAATGCCCCGAAAAAATATTGTTTAGTCTAAAAGTTATGACGCTAGCCGCAATATAACATACATGAAAGATGTTTTTAATTGAATTTTAATTAAGATTAAAATCCATTAGCATCGGTATTAAATAATCAAAAGTATAAACTGCTGAACATTTTAAACTGGCAAACAAAAATTTGTTTACTTTTTTCAAAAGGCTATATCGGTTATTCACTACCGGTACGCGTTTGCAGGTTTTTTTCTGGTAAACCAGGCTGCATTTTTGTGCAAAATTTTTTTTTTTTGGATTTTATCTATATTTATTTTATTTACAGTAAATAACGATTTTGGGTGAGTTTTAATATTTTTGCAGGTTTTCAAGAAATTACTTTTTTTCACGTAACGTAGACTATGAAAACTTTTACTAAGTATTTCAGTATTCAACCAGTACCCCATATTCATTGAAAAATGCACTGTAAAAATTAGCCGTCATTTCAAAATTGATTTTAATATCATTAAAAAATGGGTATCGATTATGTTAGTTTCGTTACTTTTGGTGTTATAGTTTGTAGGACGTCTATTTTTTATAATTATTCTTGTTTATTTTAAACGGAAATAATATTTTCATATTTCAAACTAATCCTCATAACAAGAGCCAAAAAATAATAAAAGTTGAAAAAATGTATGAAGAAATGATACATTAAAAAAACATTTCAAAAATATAACGCCACCAGCTTAAAATTTTAAATTAATGCTTTGTCTTGTCAGAGAAGCAAACGCTAGACATTACATTATTGATGATCAGCGAAAAAACTAAGCCAAATATGTAATAAAAAATATTAAAAAGACAAATTAAATTATTTAATTTAAAGATTTGCTTTGTGGTCTTTAAAAAGTTTCTTTTATTTCTGTTTTACTTTAACCAAAGAAAAATATGTTTTAACCATTGAACAAATAATTCGGATTTAATTTCTATGTTTGATTTGTGTAAGCATATACCTGCGTTACCCACTTATATTAAACTCTGGTCGTAAGAGTTGAAAAATTGAAACATTCCGCAAATGATAAACCCCATTCTATTGTGTTAGTCAATGGTGGTGCGGTAAAACAAATTCAAAAATTTAAATGGAAACAGAGCTCCACTTAAAAGCACGTAATTAGCAAGCAACTTAAACGTCGCCGTCGCTCTGAGCCGACAACGGTTAATATTTTCGAAGTTGTCGTTAATGGCCGATATTGGGTATCCAAAAAAACTACCAGCCAAAGGCGGAGACCGATTGCACTTGAGGCCTAAAGACGGCTGTACAAATAATTAACACATGGAACTTCTCATAAATAAAATAAAACTCTTTGGCGCTGTCTGTTGGTGACGAGTATTACGTACGTTAAAACAGACATCGACGGTTACGCAGCATTTAATGGTGGTGAACGTCTGGATAACGGTCGGAATAATTCCCTTCGGTCCTATAGGGAGATTACCAGACATGTTTCGTGAAAGTGTCAAAAAAGATATTATCTCCCAGAACACAATAAAAAACGAATTACTTTGACTGTACCCGAAAAAAACCTTTTTGTACGGCACCGATCCAAACAGTTTTCCGTAACAACTTCTTCGCTAAGCGGCTTTGGACGGGAATTTTCCTTTGTGATACACGTAATTTTCTTACTTGCTTTTCTTTTAACGCCGTAAAAGTTGAATCGCAGCTAAAGTCGGTTCGGTGCCACTGTTAAATATAAAGCTGCTTATATACTCCTTTGTATATCTCGACGATCGCGTTCTAAAGTTTTTGCGGTGATTATTAATTTCGTGAAAGTTATAAACTTGGTTTGTGTTCGAGTAGGAATACTTTAGAGTGACCGTGCATATACAAAGCATGACTTGGGCGTTACCCATTTTGTGTCAACCAAAACTTACAAACATTTTTGTGAATTATTGTCAGTATTTTTAATTTGTCACCAACCTGTCACGATTAAACAGAAAAAGCAGGTTGAAACTTTAAAGATCTGAAACTTTCACACATTTTGCACTCGAATTCTACTCTGTACATATATTGTTTGAAGGGGCGGAGCTAAAGGGGCATAATTTCGGATGACTGATAATCATATTAGTGAAGGGTAAAGACCTGAGTGGCGGTTAAGATTATATGGGTGCTTATGGATTTCTATAGATGCTCGGATTTTTCGTTGGTAGAAGAGTTGATTACAGTTGATGCAAGAATTTGGTTTTATCCAATAAAATTTTATGTCCGATTTCGTGATTGTGCTCAGCATCTGCTAATGAGTTTATTTGAGGAGAAAGCCCTCGAGACCTCCCATCTAAAACCAAAATTATGGAAACGTGACGTTGATGGATCTTGTGTTATTTGGCCTCATGTTCCCATCTAAACTCTCTACACCTTAAGATACGTTAAGAAACTAATAATAAGCTTCCATTCTTAGATATGTTTATCAATGGAAAATTCTGTTTACAGAAAACCTACGCACACAGATCGATATCTTAATGCATTGTCACATCACCATTTGCCCCAAAATCATCGGTTATCAACTCTGTTATTTACAGAGCCGTAACACTATGTCAACCGTCACTGAACCCAGAATTAAAACTTACACCTATATCCTTTCTAATAATTTCAACATTAGAGATATTAAGAGTTCCAGCGCAAAATATACTTTACCACAACCTTCCAAAGACAATGAGTCCGAAAGTCATTGTTGTCGGTCTTTAAATTCAAAACATTACTCTCAAAAAGACAAAATTCTCTTTGAGATACCTCGAGTTTACAGCATTTCATGCATGTTCTTCAAATAATACATTGGAGAGACTGGACGAAATATATCAACTAGGCTCAAAGAACATGAAAAAGTCTTTAGACTACGACAAATAAACTCATCAGCAGTTGCCGAACACAATGAGGAAACTGGACATCAAATCTTCGATAATATTAAAATTTTTGCATGTAACCAATTCTTCAACCAAAGAAAAATCAGAGAATATATGGAAATAGATAAACAACTAAGGAATCTTAACCGCGACTCAGGTTTTTACCTTTTACCAATACGGAAATCAGTCATGCACCTCCTTTAGCTCCGCAGCAGCAGTTTAAGTTAGGCTCTGAGGAAGCCAACAGGAAGATTTGCGAAACGCCAGCAAGTTCGATTCATCAACAACCGATGCAGGAGGAATCCAAAAGATTTGTAAATAGTTCAGTAAAATTCACTAATTTTAGACCTCAGCCAATCAAAACAATATCCAGAAATTTGAAGGTTACCATTCCGATACCAGAAACTGGTGATCTCTTTCCGAATGAGTTTGAAAGAGTGGTTATTTTTTTTGTCTGTTAAATTTCAACAATTTTATTATGGCCTCGTTAGAAACAGCTATAATTTATATAAAATCAGCGGTAATTTGTGGGTTATATATTAATTAAAAATGAAATGCTCTTTCCAGCGGCGCATTTGCCGCTAACCCTTTCCAGTTTTCCGCACTCTTTAAACACACTTATTATCACTAGGCACATGTAAGCTGCTGTGCGTATCGCGTATTAATGAGGAACACCAAAGATGTGTTTAATTGTTGAAAATTTGTGACGTTTTCTGATAGTTCTGGTTATTTATTAATTGACAGAAAACTATCCTTCAACGATTACGTCACCTTCGTAATTAACTTTGGTCTCCGGCTGCTTGGGAAACTTACCGATTGGAAAAAATAATGTTTTCATCTACTATTTTATAAATCAGAAAATTTTGTCGCAACGAACATCGAAAATGAAAGCATCTCCGAGGAAGTCACAATTTCTTTCTTCTTCTGCTGGTACTGTCTGATACCGTTTTTGGGTAAAGATTAATGTCATTCTCACTTCTGGTAAGTTTCATCAGTCAAGGTGGTAGATGATGTGAATCTCTTAGCGAAGAAATCCGCCAGGGAAAGAATTGAACCTAAACCGTCTTGTCGACCTCTCACACGACTTTAACCAATGATATTCCTAAAATTAGACAGTAAATACGTCAATACAAGACGGTTTACCTGACACTGTGACATCAGTAAGCATCATGGCCTTATTGAGAACCTTGTATCTAGGACTTGGGTCCAGGAGGATGATATTGCCATGCGGGTTTTGTATCAGCTTGGAGCTTTAAATAGTGTAGGCAACAATATTTTGGGATAACCTCTCTAGAACCAGAGACTAACAAAAACATTCCTGGAGTGTTAGCAGTACACATCTGCTAAGTGATGGGGGTCACAGTACAACCATAGTGCTAGAGGATCGAAACTTAAGTCCTGTAAAAGAGAAAAAAAACAAACCCAGTATTATCAATTTTTGAGGTGCGCCTTTAAATTTCAGCAATAGAGAAATGACTCTGAAATGGCTCCCCAACAAAGTCAGAAATCCCACTTACCTAAATCCTCTCGTTGCTTAAAAAACGGCAACAACCGAAACGTCGGCACGCGTTCTCTATCTTACCGGCCGATTTAGCAAACAAATCATCCAAACCCAAAAGCCGTGTGCCGGTCTAAACAAATATCGGAAAACGCAATCTCTTATTGTCGGTCGCATAATGACGACACAAGTTGAACGCGTGTTACTCGTGGGAAAGTCGAAGGTACCCCCGTGGGACCGTTCTTATCCTCCGGTCATAAATCGGTAAAGCGAGACCCTCCGTTTCCCCCTGATATTGTTAATAGCGCCGGAACAATATGCTGCTGCTTGTCGGTTTCATGAGCGTATTTATTAGGTGTACGTAGAGGTCTGGGGGGCGGCTGGCCGCCGGGACTCAATTTGTCTCTGGGAATGATAGAAAGTGATTTTACGAGCGGGATGATCGATGTAACTGTGCCCGATATACGTAACTAATATTATTAACAAAAACGGATTTTTAAGTAAATAGGGTATAAAATCGATTATTTAAGTTTATAATGTAAATGTCCCACTTTTGTTTTGTATTTTACATTAATAGTTATAAATTAGAATATTACGGAAAAATTTGTATCGATAAGCAAGATAAGTTGAACATGATAGAGAGGATTTAGGTGGTTTACTAAACTCTTAGGTATTTAACTGTACTGCAATTGACCATTGCTAACGAACATAACTATGGTTCAATATATAATAAAATATAATTGTAAATATTTTTAAAATGTTGGTTTTCGTTCCTTTTATGCTACACCAAGTGACCGTTTCGGAGAAAAGTGTTAAATCGCTTTTGCGATCGAACTTTGTATTAAATCATAAGAGAGAGAATAGTTAAGTTGCAAACCAAATCGAAAGAGAGATTTTTTAGGGACAAGAATTATTTAAAAGTGTCTTCTAAGGTTAGGAATAATCTTCTCTAGTGGATTTTAAACAGCGATTACACGAAAAATACAACCGCCTCTGTTCATACAAACCCAAACTAAACTCTCGAGCGGCTTCTGTATATTTGCCTAGCACAGTTCCCACAGATTGTTTATAAATTTCGAGTAGCGAAGTGGTTTAACGACTGATTCATAATGCCTCTTGAAAACTTAATTTGTCTCCACGTTGTGGCGGACATATGGTATTACGTTTTCATTTTTGATGCAAACCTGTGCCTGGGGTTGTTACGTCTTTCGACATGTTTAATTTGAATGTTTTAAGGTTCGAATAGAGGAGGCTGAAGGTTTTTTCTATATTTTTTAACAAATGTGACAAGTATTTCAAATATATACAAGATATCAAATGAAATTGTTCAATTTGATAAGAAATGATATTCTCTTTGTCCCTGCAAAAATTATAATTAACCAAACTAAGCAGGAACTGAAAAAATAGATTCCAGCAATTCGCATTTTATCTGTTGCCGGTGCCTTCGTTAGTTGAGGTTAGCATTATCATAACAACATTATTAATGTTTTTTGTGCATGTTCTTATTCTCGTTTTCCTGTTTTTGATGCCTCAAATCTAAACAAAACTAGAGTCGGTTTAACGGTGAATTTTCGTGATAATTTTTACGAAGTTGACATTAATACATCTCTCTGTGCAACTTTCAAAGATATGTCATATGCTAAGGATATTTATGATTTTCGGCTACGTGCTATTACTTGAAAGTAAGTGTGAAAGTCGCCGTAGTTATTTGTACGAAAAACTTATTTTCTTTCTTTTTCAAACTCATTTCCCGAGAAAAGTTCTAAAATGAAAAATGTTATGCGGGTGATAAAGAGATACGACAAGAATGTAACAAACGGCAGTCGGTCGGTGGGTCGAAGACACGAACCCCATCTAAAAAGTATCAGGTAACATTTTAAAAGCAATATCTGATGTCTAGCATATATGTTTGTAATTAATGGACTTGTTAAGAATGTTACACGTGGCTATCTTTGGAAGTTTTAATCTACTCTGTCTGACGGAGGATTTTTAACAAGTCCCATCGGAAGAATTTCACAATTAAAATTTAATAAATAAAAACGTCAGTTCTCAGTATTAGTGTATTCCATAAAAACTAACGTTTATTCATAATTGGCTGAAATTATAAATGATCAATTTGGTTAAAACAAAAACAGTTTTTGTGTCCTAGTAAAATTACTTTACTTTTGGCTAGTTTAAACTAATAATATGGGGGGTTCTATGGTTAGTCAGTCCCTGAGGCGTTATGGACTCAAGAATCAGTCTAAATATTTAGTTTAGAATATTATCACAATTTTATTTGATTTTCCCAGACTCAAGTTACGACTTGTAAGTCGATATGTTGACGTTCTCGGTTTTATCAGTTTGTGCGATTTTGTTTGCTTTGATACTTACATTTACGCAAGTTCTATAGCCATAAACCAGTGGCTTTTGTAGGAACTTTGCTTGCGCCGGATCTTAATGTATTATTATTGAATTGGTGTGGCTAAGATCTCCATTAGAATTTTTGAGAAACAAAAATAGTCTTATTTCATTTGTTATTTTGTTGAAGATTAGGATAATTTATTTGTAATGCAAATTATTTATATATCCTCAGTATACGAGAGTTAAATGAGATGTGAAGTACTCTAGTTAAAAATAATACCCTTTTGTTATTAACCTTAACTCACATGGCTCCCTAGCAAACCCTTACTGTCAGTGGTAACAATAAAACCCTCAATTATCGAAAAATTGTTCTAAGTTTTGAAGTTTATGATAAATGTGATATTTTCTATTAAAAGTTATACATATTACCTACATGGACGGATGATCCCAAATTTGACACCATAGAAGCAATGCAAAAACACTGCAGGCGATCAAAACCATACTTAAAGCAAATCCACTGTAACACCTGTCGATATTTGACCTACCTGGCAGGTATAGGTAACCTAAAATAACACATCAAGTACGATTTTTTTCCGCGCGGTCATGTTTGTTCAAGCTCCTCTGTTTTCGTAGGACCCGCTGTTATAAACTAGAAAAAGCACTATCGTATGTAAATGTATATCTTGAAAAACATCGATAAACACATTAGTACAAGATTAAGAATAATAGTGATATTTCGAGAAGACTCCAGTGTAAAAAAACATACTTAATATCAATTTTTTGAATCAAATATTATAGAAATAAAATTTTAACGAACTCCAAAATTTCAAGTAAATTACCGGCCTTGAGCTTAATTAATTAATATTTGTTATTAACTGATTAATATTTCTTACCTGATTGAATTATTCCGTTTTCTTTTCTTTTTTCGTTTAGGTTTTCCATGCAGTTATGTTTCTCTCTTATTTCCCAACATTAAACTATCCCTACAAGATTTTCTTAAACATTTAAAATTTTCAATTTTTTATCGTCATCACTATCTGGCAAGTGTTTTTCCAGCGGTAGTAATCAATTTATATCTATTATCTCTATCTACAGGCAAATGTTTAACATTTTTAAGTAATCAAATACATTGGATGGTTATGGAGTAAAGGTGCAAGATGTGAATCAGTGTAGGATTTTCATAAAAATCCTACACTGATACATAAAAATAATTATTAGTAGTAGTAACTTTAATTTCTGTTATTATTTATATATATTCGCCAAACTATTTATTTTAAGGGATTTTTGAGGGTATTAGGAGCGGCATGCGATTTTTTTATACCATCTCAATGACAGGCAGTACAACTTGAAGCGCAATCAACATATAAATTAAGAAAATGCCGCCATTAAAGTTAGTTTTTACAGCCGCGCTGAAAGTGGTCCCATAAAAACGGAATAAAAATTTTCTTTTGCTCGCGACGCGGTTCATTTAAATGTTAAAATTTGTTAAAAGATGTTATTACCCGTTAATTGGTTTTAGTTTTCGAGTTTTATTTTTGCAGGGGGCCGGGGACGCTTATTGGGTCGGTTTTGCGCTTTTCGTCGGTGTCAATAAACCCATTACGGTCGACGGTCGGTCGGTTTTTCGGCGAATAATGGCTATTTTGATGACTTTTAATTAGGCCTCCCACCGGTGTTTAATAAACATGGATTTACTACGCCGCTTTACTTCATCAATTACTTTTGAGGTAGACTTCTTGCCAAAATGCAATTGCGAATCGTATTTAGCCAAATAATTTTTAAGTATTGCTTATTAAGTTTGGTTAACTTTGCCTTTAATATAGAATTAATTCTCTGTATTATTCAAAGAACAGTGGCAGTTGAACTTGTTCCAAAAATTATTAATGAATCGGGGAAATATTATTAGATTCCCTCTATCGCTCCCACCATTTTTCAATTGCAGTTTAGCTTTTACACTCCTTTATTTCTTGTTTCAGACGTGGTTCTTTACCGACACGGAAGACCAGGATTTTCAACAGAAAACAAGTAAGTAAAATTTAACAATTTGATATTAAATTACAACAAATATATTTTTTGCATGTGTTGCTTACAACATTTTTTCTTAGATCTTTACATTAAAGTAATCGAATTTTATACTGACTAATCCAAATAATTAAATAAAATGTTTGCACTAGACAAAAAGTAACCAATTATTCGTTACACGAACAGTATTTAGTATAAAACGGCTTTTTTTGCATATTGAGTGATGTTCAGTAACTGACTGAAAAGTTCTAGTGATTAACAAGTAGTGAAAAACTTCAGAAAACTCAATTTCAAAATCGGAAGCTGCCAGATAATCGGATAGCTTTTTTTTGTATTTCTATTATTTGCTAATGCTAGTGAAAAATGTTTGTTTATTCGTTCTATTTATATTTTATAGCACCGTTGTGCAAATTGTTCTTCGATTTTAGCTGATCATGAACATCGAAGAGCTAGAAAATTAATTCTATTAGTTATAATATATCTCATATATAAAAAGACTAAAAAGACTACTAAAAGACAATACGTGTATGTTCATTTTTAGGTACTCACCAAATGTTTCTTTTTTATACCACATCTAACACTCTTATTATTTTAGATACTGCTGCTCCGGCAGAATAGTAATGTAAGTGCATTTAAAAAAAAAATTGAGTCCTTAAATGGTTTAATATATACGGTAAAACAAACAACTGATCAATATTTAACTTACTAATACAACTTTTTGAAAGTCATAATTATGCATGCAAATTTTTAGGGATAAATACCAAAATTTCATTTTGGTTTTTTGGTTAGTTCATTTTAGTTTGCCGGAGCAGCGACATGTTAGCGATACCATAGGTTGCGAACTGTATTTGTCCTATAATATTAATCAAATGAATTTGACACAATTTAATTCATGACACTGAATTTGTGATGTCGAATACAGTCAAACTGAGTTTTATTGACAGCCTTGTAGCTATTAGATAATAAATGAACTTTAAATATCGTTAAATTTTTGCGTCTTAGAGGACCATTGCGTTTTCATACGAAATGATGTTCTGCGCACGCCCTTAAATGTTACAAACTTGACTCTATTTTCCTTCCAAATGGCCGATCTTTGGAAACTTAACTCGTTGTTTCCCTGATAATATGTGCTCAGCATATTTGCACAAAATAATGCCAAGAAAATGTGACATCCACACAGCCATCTAATTGACGAAGTATTAGCCATGTTGACTGTTGAGCGCTGCAAGGCCTCATTGGTTGATTGCGAGTTGCGAAATGACTCGCGCATGCAGCATCTATGTACAGGGTGTCCCGAAATTAGACGTCAATATTTTATTCGCCCTAAAATAGAGTTAAATTAGGGTCCATTTAAATATTTCCTTGGACTATTTGGTAAGTTTTTTAAGCTCTGTCTAATTAATTGAAACTTAGTATTGGATTATCTTGGGAAAAATTTACCCCAATTGATTTTTAGTATCTTATAGATAGAGCGCAAAATTACAAAGTTTTATTTAAATATCTTTTTAATATCTTTTAATTTAAATTGTTTACATATTTTCAAAAATCCAAAATCAGAGTTTAACTTTGATCCAGAGTTTTTGTTAAATCGTCATAAATGACATGTAACCGAGTATAGGCGATAGACTTAGTACTGGACGACTAAGAAATTTTTGATGCGAGGATCTGAAAGACTTTTTTGCGCCGATTAACTCACATTTATGCTGAACAGCGACCCGAAACGGATGCGGTAAATATTCGCGAGATTCTGCATAAAAACGCGAACCTAATAAATAGCGTGCACGCGTGGCATATCAAATGGCCATCGGCTACGACGAAGAAAAGACGGCGGCTTCCCGTCGATGCCTTCCTGAGTGGAACGAATGTTCCACCACGCAGGTGCCGCACCACGGTTCACTAGGTGCCCGCATTTTTGCCTCTTGGTGTATGCCACTTGGGCTTTGCTTCTTTGCTTGGTTCTTGCGGCATTGTCAATGCGCGCTGGTAGAGGCTGGTAGAGTGATTCAATTTTAATCTTCTGTTTTCGAGTTGAGAAAATTTGCAACATTGTATTCGAAAAGTGCGAGGAGCCAACATACAGTACAGGGTATCTGGTAAAGAAGTACCAGCAACAATACGCGTAATTACGTCAAATATCAATTTGGACAGAATTAGGATCGAGGGAGTTGTATTATTCGTTAGTGCCCTAATATTATATTTTTAATATTTGTGGAAATAGGTACAATTTGGCAACGCTACTGTAAAATTTTTAACTGATTTGAAATTCAAGCGTATTGTGGTTTTGACGTTTTCATTTTCACGCCACATTTAAGGATTCACTTGTTGTTTATTGTTGTGTAATTGTTGCGATTTCCAGCCACTTGGGCTTTATATCAGTTTTGAATTTGTCACTTACCTAAAACCCAATAACAATTGTATGCTCTTTAAGTATGCGGTTGTATATAACACCACGAGAAACACCTACAATAGTAATAATAAGACTACAAACAGTAATCTATAAACAAGAAAGGAAAAAGACTAACAACTAAAGTACTCTTCTACAGGCATTTAATTACAAGATATTCCGTTAACATTTTTTTAAATGCACATAAATTATCACACATTTTTATTTTTTTCGGTAAGAGGTTAAAAAATCGCACACCACTTACACTTGGGATTCTATAAGAACTATTAAATTTTGCATAAGGAACTCTAAAGTCTTCTTTATAACTTGTATTCACTGAGTGAAAAACACATAAACACACATGTCAAACACATATAGACCTTACAATGTTAAAATATTAATTTTTTTTAAATATTTTTTACAAATAGTAGATTTGTCGAATCAGTCGATTATCCCTATAAAATTATACCATACCTAAGTCTACTCTCAATATAATTTTTGTGATTCTTTTAAAATATCATTCTTGTTATGTAGTAAATAGATGTTGGCTTCCAACCCCGATACCAAAGAAGAGCAATGAATTTTAAAATTTAAAAATGTTTTTATCTATGAATATTCCAAGAAACTTTACATCATGCACCGATCGAAGATCTTCAGTATTGATACGGCTTTTGGCTACGATGGAAGTTATTATCATTAAACCAAGAGTTGACTTCATTTAAAACCACATTGCATTTGTCTTCTTGACATGAATTCGTCATAGATATCGTAAAGTCATCAGCAAACTTTTTCAAATGTTGTTTTCTCGTGGTCCGGACCACGCAAGGTCTCTAAACCGTCAATGTTCAAGACTTAAGTTAAGTTATGTCAAGTTGAAGTTCGAAGGCACGAATGGAACCAATAGATTCCGATCGGCAAATTACGGTAGCTGTAGGACTTCACTCATGACGCTGATAATACATACCGTTTCAAAGCTAACTTAAAAATATATTGAGAAGGGACATTCTTAGACAGTTATTTCAAATCTCATATTTTGACAAAAACTAATTAATTGTGCCGCGAAAATTTCACTCGAGATCAATTTTCGCTGTAGTTACGGCCTCTCATCGAATTTAATATGGTCTAGACTAAATGAATGAATTGGTATAAATATCAAATAGATAAAAATTGAAATAGCCAGCCAAAGGTGCCTGAAATCAGTTTCACAATCAAGACGATTTTTCGTCGCGGAAGAAGACTCTGAATAAAAGTATTTTTTTCGTTCATTTCCGCAGAAAATGCAAGGCATTTTCGTAGCGGCGGCAGCGCCACCATTAGTCACGCACAATGCAAAAGGCGGAAAGCACGCTAATGCACGTCAACATGTGCGTTTAGTGGGGTGTCGTCATTTTTTTCAGCGTTAATAAAAAAAGTGTAACTAGATATCTATAGTGGCAATGACCTCTAACGTAAAAGCGGCGCGCCAACAGTTGAATGATTCTAGTATCCGGCAGATGCATTCTGCGCACTTACTCATTTGTTTTTAGAATCAGATAGAAAAATATTCATCAATTTAGCTGCATAAGTAGTTACTGTTGACTAGTACTGGTATTTCTAACTTTTGTTTGAAAAGTTTTACGATACATTCGTGCTAAAAAATGGAAGAAATATTCAACATATTTGTTTGCTGTCAAAGCAACAGTAGCGAATTTTCTAATCTACCTTTCAGCATCCCTTTAAACTTAAACAACAAATAAAACACACTTAGACATACGAGTTTAATATGCATATGTTTCAAGCTCAGAACTGCAGTAACATTTTGGTAAGTTATAAGGGATAGTTGACATTATTGCCTACAATCTAAAAGTTGTATTTTAGGAGACCAAAAAGAGTGAAATAGTTTTGGGGTATATTTAGTTCATACATGTGCCTTTTGCTTTAGTTTGTATTTAGTGCTAGTATCGTGTGAATCTTACTAGTTCAAAACAAACTATGGGGGCGTACTGGCTTCTGTTAGCAACGAATGAAATAGCCATACATTCTATTTAATGTTTTTAATGCTTTATTATTTTCCTTACAGACGGTCACATGATTAATACCAACTGCTCATCTTCTCACAACAGAAAAGCGCTTTGCTGCAAGATGTCCGTGGAGTTCGACACTTTTCTAAGCACCGACAAAAAGTAAGTATCTTCTTTGCTTTGAACATTTTTGCGTTTCTTGCCTGCGTCTGTTTCATCCTAACGAAAGTTATTCGCTATTTTTTTTCTGAAAGCTGTACTAGATGAAAATGTATTTTTCGACTAAAGAATAATGAATAGTTAGTAAATCGAAAAATATAGTAAACGGCACAATAACGCAAACAACTTTTTGCCAATATTCTCGTAAAAATAGTTTTGGAGAGAAAATGTAATGCTATTCGCCAAAAATGTTTTTTTATTTAGTTTGAACAATTCGGGAAAATCGTAAATTCGTTCGTAAATCGTTAGTTAGACTTTACAATAATTTTCTCAAATTTAAAGTCTACCAAACATGATTCCAACGCAATAAACCTTCTTGCGTCAAACCAGCTAAAACTAATGAAGGCAATCCACTTCTAATAACTAACGAACAAAAAAATAAAGAAAATTACGCCGCAGGTATACCGCATCTAATCGCGGCGTTATCATATTCTGATTGAATTAGCTTACAAGAAGCGTGACTAATTGTAACTGGACTCGAAATCTGACTCGCAAGCTTCGTAGAAGGTTGCGGAGCACTACTGTAATATACAGCGTGAACAATTGAAACTCTGCCCTATTGCTCATTATTTAAGGTACGAAGCAAAAGTGCGATCTTGAATTTGTTCAGGGCAACATATCCTGAACTTAATGGAACAAAGGAGATTGGCTAAAGATTCGAATGTTCAAAATAACCATACCTGTAATAATAACAGTCGAATTAACTAAATTTGATGATTGATTTGATTAAAATTGATGCCGTTCAAAAAATCACCTCGTTTGTAGCGATTGTTTGCAATTAGTTTGATCGTAGACCAATAACCTTAAACTAAAGTAGATGCAAACACAAATGATAATACATTTGTTGTTCATGTTAATCATTTAAATTTTAAAAATACTCCAATAACTTAGGAGTCATTTATATTTTTTCACCTTTAATTTAGAATTTGGTACTTGGTAGGCTGGTGGAATATAGTTTCTAGATAGGTTTTAGGCAAATAGCGCAAAAAGTTATAGGCTGTCGCCTGTTAACTGTTGCGTGTTTCATTTTACGGCGAGATAATAATTGATCCAATTTACTCATTTTTAGTCAGTTCTAAAAATATCTCGAATTAAATCAACTGACACAAATAACATAAGCATAAACAACACATTTCGTTAGACACATACTCGGAACCTTTCCCCAAATTTTAGCATTGTTTCGTTCTAATAAATAAAATAATTAAAAAAAAATTGTAGCAATTTAATCTATCGTTAAGACACTATTAGATAAATTTGTTAAAACCAAAAGTGTGCCTTATTAATACTGCCATTTAAAGCCATATCCGCGTTTAATTTGATTTTAAAAGCACAAGCAGGTCGTTCGTGCAGCAGCATTAAGTAACTGCAGAGTAATTTAAAATAACTGTAGCGTCTAAATTAGAACAGTTGGCAAGAACGTGTTCTTTCTTATATAGCCTTTCCGATTTCTGGCGGCTCTCGTTAAATAAAGTAATTTTTTTAATTTAAATGGTCTTAATCGCAGTCGAAATGCTGGTAAAATTGAGAATTTGGAAATGGATAAAACAATTAGTTCTTGTTGCTCAAAGGAGTCAGATACGCAAGTTCCAATATTTTAGTCCTTTATGTACTTTTAGCAAATTTAAGATCTTTAAATACTTACTTCAGGTTAAAAATTATTTAAAAAAATATTATTGGATGTTTTTAACTGATTCATATATTGATGTTTGTTATATTAAACATTAACCACTGGAAACCGTTACAAATTTTCATCAATTCCTTCCTATATATGTAAATGTTTCAACCCAGTTAACGGTTTTCCGATTTTTGCATCTAGGTTTGGCTCAACTCTGCAGTAGCTTAGCTAGTTTTTTCTCTGGAAACCGAATGGGGAAAACTTTCAAAAGTACCAAAACGAAGGATGTTAAAATTCTAAAAATACTTACGTTGTTTTATTATATTTAGTACACATCTTTTAAGCAAGAAAGGGCATTTTTTGGTCCAAAACATTTTAATTTTTTTTTATCTAAAATTATTGTTTATTTTTATTTTTTAATTAATTGAAGTCAGTTCTGAAAAAAATATTTCCGAAAGTTTAGCTGAATACCAAAAATTATTTAAAAAATTTTATCTATTTTTCGGCCTTTCCTTTTATTCGAATTTCGAATACACTATAAAAAACAAAGCATTCGCGGACCATTGTTTATATGACTTTTTCTTTTAAAAATCCTTTAACAGTCTCATTTTTAAACACCAGATTTTAGTATTAGTATTATGATTAATTATAATTATTAAATGTATTAGAGGATAAAATGTTATTGGCTTTTGTTTATTGTTTCTTACGCATGTTAACAAATGAACCACACTTTGTGATATTCACCACGGCAGTGGTTACCGTAATTTTGGAAAACTTCTCGGAAGTACAAGCATTAGTTTTTCAAATAGTTCCTTTAAATTCCTTTTATTTTTAAAAACCCTTTGGTTATTTTTCAGGATAGCTAAAAAATTAGAAGCACGATTTTGTTATTGGATTATATCAAATTGAAAAAGACTAACTGCGAATTTTTGTAATGGATTGGATATATGGACCATGCAATAGTAACTTTACTATTGCTACATTCACGCACTCATTACCCAACAGGTATCACTGTAATTTTCGATATTGAAACGAGATTAAATTTATCGATAACGGTGGCGATTTTCGTCAGCTCATCAGACCCGATTGCAGATATATCGATAAAAACGATAATGAGCAACTGCCTTTTTATTTTCATTTTTATTTTCACTGTGCGTATTACCACTCGCCACTTTTCGCCCTTATCAGATCCCGTGTAATTTAGGTTCGATCCAAGGCCATCGTCGATGGACCGAGTAAACGCTCTTCATTATTTTTCTTCGCCGCGGAAGGTGTGTTCGGTGTCGTGTGAAATCGACTAAATTGAAACAGCGACTGTAAATCGATTTCATGGTTAAATTCGTAGAAAATTCTGTTTGCGGTGGAAAAAAATAACGTCGGATCCGACCAACCTAGGTGGCGCGCCGTTCTTTATTTCCGACTTAAGTGACGTTTGGGCGTCAATTATCTAAGAACTAGTTCATAGTTTAATGTATCAATCGTGATATCGTGGTTACCAGATCGTTTAGAATAAATGCAGAATAATGGGAAGAAAGATTTTAAAATACCGAACTTTGTCTATATTTGACTTAACTACAAAACATTTTTATCACTTTCTGTTATTAAGTGTACACCACGGAATACTAGGGTTAAGAAGTGTTACCTCAGAATAGAAATAGGAAAGCGGTTCCGCCATACAATGACCTGATGAAGTATTTCAAGATGGGGTATATCAATAAAACAAATTAATTTAATATCAACTAAACTTGGGCGGATTCATTTAAGTACCCATATTTTTTGTATTGCATTTTAAACTCTATTTAAATATAATTTCTATTTTAAAACTCTTTTTGATTTCACATTGCATAACACAAAAGCATCTCCGATTAAAATTTATTAGGGGCTTAATGGAATTACAAATATTTTTAAAGAATTATATTTAAGATTATTTAGATTTTGGAGTTTATCACCCAATAAAAAGAAACCCAAATGCCAAAGGCACCTAAATGACATCACGTAAAACCTAAATAACATTAGAAACACAAAAATTGGTAAGTAAATGAATTTAAATAAAATACAGAAAATATTAAAAAGGAAGAAGGCAAGATACGGGAAAAATTGAATGAGAGAGAGAAATAAAAAAATTGCACCATGATGGTTTGTTATAAAAAAATTATAAACTTTCTTCGGTATCTTGTAGAAATGTCTTTGTACCACATTGAAAATATGCAGAGGAATTTCCTAAAATTTTCTTCCCACCATGTACGATGTCGCCATCCGACTAGCGGCATTCCCACAGAATGACCTACTTATATGATTAAATGTTCCCTCTCAGTTAAATAACCAAAAGTATCTTTCTATTTCATCTTTATATAAGTTATGTTAAGTTAATTATCCACGTTCCTTTAAGAACTATTAATCGCCAGTATTTATCTATTAATGACTACAAACAATTTTCTATTATTTTCTTATGAGCAAAAGCCTTTTCTAAAATGAAACACATTCGTTAAATCTAATCCTGCCTTTTTTACTTTGATTCAACTCTTGGCCGAAACAGACCGAAAGGAATGCTAAAAATGTATTAAGAAACACAAGCAATTTTATGTTTTGGTTAGTTTGGTTAGTTTTGGATAGCAGAGTACGTTTGGTTTAAACAACATAAACATTTTTTAAACCAAACATACTCTGCTATCCCTATTCCAGATCTAATCTCTCGTCCTGCAATGTGTTTATTCCTCTTTTTCAGTCGACTCACAGCATTTACAAGGTAATCTAAAGTCATTTTTTATTGAGGTTCGAGAAATATTTCAATAAGTCGGTTAACAAAGAACATTTTAATGTCGAAGGGGCATTTCTTTGTATGAAATCTTGAAATTAAATGTTATTTTGTTTGTTCAATGATTTATTTTTTGCCTTAAAAGTTTATTTTAAAAAAATCTGTTTCAATATAATTTTGTCCAAAATAGTTATTTTTTTCTTACTAATAGTAACATTGCGCATCTTAAAGAATCATATTTAACAATAAAAAACTACGAAGGTGCTATAAGCACGCTAATAAAAGAGAGAAAAAGAAAAAGAGAAAATTTTAGATGTAGTAGAATCATCATTTGATTAGGGACTTCAGATCGGTGTTTTACAAGTACCAATAAACATGAAAGTGATTGTGATTATATTTATTGAATATAGCTTGGTATATATTTTTCAAATAATTCTCATTTAAAAATGTTTTTAGGATTTGATCTGTATCTTCATGTCGTTGGTGCTAAGGAATTATATTTCCCTTAACTTTTAACTCTGTGTTGTCTCCAACTTTTCTTATAGACTTTTAGTAGAGAGTAGGTTTATTCTT